TAGGCTGCTCAGATATTCATAACTTACTGTGACATTTGGGAAGATTACATTTTGTAGTGCAGAGCCATTACTACAGCTCAGATAATAACTAGCCAGTGCCTGGTCTTAGATTATGATCCCTGTCATTGGAAACAGATTTGTGTTTTGAAGGTTGATCAGTTTCCAATAACTATTAGAAAGGGTTAACATGACATACTGTAGAATGTGTATGCTTTTAGGTATAATAGATATGCGTACATATAGTATATCAAATATGCCACACATTTGTGTGTAGCAATTTCTGCCATCAATTTTCTCCTTGAAAGATATATTTTATAATATTTAAAGCAATGGATGAATATTTAAAACACCTGTCTAGATGTTGCTTTCACAATATCAACTCAATTTAAAAGCTGGTAAAATATTTGGGTTGTCTTTTTTTGGAAATTACTTGCAAAAATTATTTTATAGCTTCTTGGAAGGGTGGTTAAGGATGGTAATAAACATATCAAAATGAAAGATTGATGTAAGTAATATTATGGTGAAGGTAAGGTCTCTTAAGTTAGTTGCAACTTGGAGCTATTTAGATCTGTGTGAAGAATGTTCCAAGGTTTATATACTAAGAACTTTCCCTTTGCCCTCTTTCCTCAAAATTATCTTTTCAGAGGCAATCACTAGTTTCTTGTGTATCATTCTTAGGTATGTGTTTGTCTGCAAGTTTTATGCTCATATAGTAGCCTGCTATTCACACTTTTCCATTTTCATTTTCTCACATAATGTATTTTATTTATTTTTAATTTTAATTTTTAAAAATATATTTTATTGATTTTCTAAAAAAATATATTTTATTGATTTTTTACAGAGTGGAAGGGAGAGAGATAGAGAACCAGAAATGTCGATGAAAGAGAAACATTGACCAGCCGCCTCCTGCACACCCCCAACCGGGGATGTGCCCGCAACCAACGTACATCCCTTGACCGGAATCGAACCCAGGATCTTTCAGTCTGCAGACCAACGCTCTACCACTGAGCCAAATGGGTTTCGGCATTTTATTGATTTTTGTACAGAGAGGAAGGAAGAGGGATAGAGAGTTAGAAACACTGATCAGAGAGAAATATTGACCAGCTGCTCTATCCACTGAGCAAAACTGGCTCCGGCTATTTATTTTTTAAAACATATTTTTATTGATTTCAGAGAAGAAGGGAGAGGGAGAGAGAGATAATAACATCAATGATGAGAAAGAATCATTGATCGACTGCCTCCTGCACACCCCCTACTACGGATTGAGCCCACAAACCCAGGCATGTGCCCTCAACTGTAATCGAACCTGGGACCCTTCAGTTTGCAGGCCAATGCTCTATCCACTGACCCAAACCAGCTAGGGCTCACATAATGTATTTTACATGTTTTTTCATTTAAAATGGAGCTGCTTTGTTCTTTTCAGTGGCTGCATTATATTTCCTTACTTAGTTATACACAACTTTACTAACCATTGCTTTATAATGTTTTCTTTGGGGGATTGCTTCTTTTTTCTATTCAAAAAATGCTAAAGTGAAGTTTTTTATTCTAGCATCATTACTTAAATGTTCTACAGATACGTCTTTTGAGATTGAACCATATTTTTAACTGTATCAGTAATTTCATTACCAAATATTTTCTAATTTATATTAATTTTTCAGTTGAAGCTCTTTGTTTTTCTAGATATAGATTATATAACCTGAAAATAATTGTAATTTCAAATCCTCCACTGCTGCCTTTTGACTAAATGTGACTTCTGTATTTCTAGAATAATATTAAATGATAGTGAAGACATTGTATCCTCGTCTTGTTTCTAACTTTCGTGAGAATCATTCCAGTTTCCCTTTTTGAACGTGATGCTGGCTTTTCAGGTGTGATTGATGCATTTTATCATTAAAGAAAGTCTTTTTCTATTGATATGTAGGAAGTATGATAGAAATATAAAATCATCGTTTAGCAAATGTTCATTTAGTAATAACAGTTGCAGGTAAGATTCATCAGTGGATTCTTAAAAGTTTTATGAGAAACAAAATATTTGTATAGTCTGAAAGTATTTCCCACAAGTGTTTTTAAAGAGAAAAAAACCCTAGGTAGTTTGGCTCAGTGGATATAGTGTCAGCCTGCAGAATGAAGGGTCCCAAGTTCGATTCTGGCCAATACCACATGCCTAGGTTGTGGGCTCGATCCCCAGTAGGGGCCGGGCCATGCAGAAGGCAGCTGATCAATGATTCTCTCTCATCATTGATGTTTCTATCTCTCTCCCTTCCTCTCTTAAATCAATAAAGAAATATATATTTTTAAAAAGTGGGGGAAAAATCTGATAGACACTACCTTAAACGAATTGATTCAAGCTAATGTCACCAATTGTGAGACATATTGACATCAGGTATCATCAGGTACCAAAAATGCATAACCTGAATTTAAACATGAAGGAAATAATGTAGATAAGACAGTCTATAAAATACCTGGCAAACACGCCTCCATAGTATCAAAATCATGAAGTCAAAGAATGCCTATCCCACTGTTTCAGATTGGAGAAGAATTAGGGGATGCTGATCCTTGGGTAAGAAAAAGGACATCAGTATGAGAAGTGGCAACATTTGAGTAATATCTGTAGATTTTTTAAAAATATATATATTTTATTGATTTTTGTACAGAGAGGAAGGGAGAGAGATAGAAACATCTATGAGAGGGAGAGTCATCTATCAGCTGCCTCTTGCACACCCCCTACTGGGGATATGCCCGCAACCAAGGTACATGCCCTTGACCGCAATCGATCCCGGGACCTCTCAGTCCCCAAGCCGACGCTCTATCCATTGAGCCAAACCGATTTTGGCTAGATTTCTTAATTGCATTATGTCAGTGTGAATTTCCTGGTTCTAAAGGTGCTACTATGATTATATGATACTAGAGGCCCAGTGCACGAAATTTGTGTATGGGTAGGGTCCCTAGTGGCTGCTGGCCACCAGCTAGGGCCTCCCTTTCCTGGCTGCTGGCTGGGGCCTTCCTTCATTCCGTGCTGCCCCATGGTGATCAGCACATCTTGTAGTGAGTGATCAAACTCCCGGTCTCCCAGTTGAACTCCCAAGGGGCCACTTTGCATACTAGGTTTTTATATATATATTATAGATATTCACATTAGGGCAGGCTGAGTAAATGATGTACAGGAACTATCCTATTTTACAACTTTTTGAACTTTTGAAATAATTTTAGAATATAAAAAGACAAAACAAGCAAATCATATTCACAAAAAAACCAAAAAAGTCTACGTTAGAGTTCTTGTGTAGCTTATAGAATGTTTGGGTGGGCTAGGGAATCGAGCATGTATACTTCATGACCAGGACCGCAGCGAGGTGAATTGACTCAGTCACGGCAAGGGGTTCTTTTAGCAGAAACCTGGCTGTCATCTCCTTACACTGTTTCTTACTGATAATGCCAGAACCAGACACTAAAATCTCCTAGAACAGCGGTTGGCAAACTGCGGCTCGCGAGCCACATGCGGCTCTTTGGCCCTGAGAGTGTGGCTCTTCCACAAAATACCACGTGGGCACTCACGTACAGTGCGATCGAAACTTCGTGGCCCATGCGCAGAAGTTGGTTTTCAGCTCTCAAAAGAAATTTCAGTTGTTGTCCTGTTGCTATTTGGCTCTGTTGCCTAATGAGTTTGCCGACCACTGTCCTAGAAGAACCAAATGCCTTTACCACGCTGCTCACCAGGAATCCGTATCTCTCTGCTTGCAGATACTGGATTATGTGGTTCATTTTTTTCTTTTTCTTTTTTTCTTTTCTTTCTCATGCCAGTGTATATCTTTGGCAGAAACTGGGACATATATTGATCTCTGGCTGCAAGGAGTTTTAATTGATTTCCTAATTCTGAACTTTCCTTGCTTTCCTGGATTAATCTCCAGTTAGTTATCTTTGTTATAAACTATTGGATTTTGTTTTGTGAAGTTCACTTGCCCCTAATCCTTGCCCACCTTTTGGGTTTAGGAATGCATCGGGGGAAAAAAAACCAAGAAGTGTTTAGAAGGACAGGAGGATGGATAGGTGATATTTTAAAAATCTACTCTAAAGGGATAGCTCTGCAACCTGATACTTAATCTTTGTTAATCATGTATCTTGATTTCACATAGGTAACTCTGACCTGCAGAATTTCAAGATTATTAACAATATATAACCATAATCTGTATGTTGAAAACTACAAAATACCAGTAATGTAGATTTAAAATTCTAAAAAATGATAGCTTTGCAAAAGTAATTGCAGAAGAATTTCAGTTCTTTCAAACAATTGGGATTTGTTAAAATTTAAAAAACCTTCTGTTTGTCGGAGGTGGCTCTGGTGATATGGCAAGGTGGGGATTGGCCAGTACAGCTTTCTCTGGATGGATTTTCTGATAGTAAAGTCAATGAAATAAATTTTCTTGACTTCTGACCTTGTGTGTGTGTGACTAAAGTTATCCTGATGGTTGATGGGAAAGGAGAGGCATCAAAATATATACATATAGTAAACCATGAATTTGACAAATATAAATTTTGACTTTTGTGTTTGCTCTGAGCCATTTTTAGTTTTTCACTTTTACTGTGAACTCATACCATATTTAGGTAGTGAAGGACTTTTAGGTTGCTATGAGTAGTTCACAGAATTTATAATTCATAAATGAAATACTGGATTAGAAGCAGTTAAAGAGCTTAAGTTAGATCTGTACTCATAGCAGGGCAGTAGGTAGTGATTTACCTGATATCTTATATTTGTTGGGAAAAAAATTGCATTTTTATATTCAAAGTCTTGCTTGACTTTATGTTATGTTAATTTGAAGATTTTTTTGAGATTTTTATAGGGGTGTGATTGTGTGTGCGTGTGTGTTTAACAAAGACCCTTTTAATGTTGTAAGACCTAGAAAAGAATGCGTACAGATAATTGCCAAGCCAAAGCTTAGGAGCATGCTCCAGTTATATTGAATGAAGAAGTACTAATGCTTTTTTTTCCTTTTTTTTTTTCAAAGTTGGTAGGTGGGCAGTTTGATTTGGAAATGAATTTCATTATCCAAGAAGGTGAGAGTATCATCTGCATGGTGGATCTACTAGAAAAATGTGACATTACTTGCCAAGCAGAAGTTTGGAGCATGTTTACAGCCATTCTGAAGAAGAGCATACGAAATCTTCAAGTCTGCACTGAAGTAGGCCTTGTTGAAAAAGTGCTTGGGAAAATTGAAAAAGTTGACAGTATGATAGCAGGTATGGTTTTTTCCTGTGGTACAATGGATGTGAAGAAATAAAGTTTGATTCTTAAGTACTGTATTTTTCTTGTATATTGATAGTATCCTGGAATTTCATGCACTGTGGGGCGGGAGGTGTGTGTTCTTCAGCCCAGCCTGTGCCCTTTCGCAGTCCGGGAGCCCTTGGAGGATGTCCAAATGATGGCTTAGGCCCACTCCCCACCGGAGAGGCTTGTTACCACCACTGCTGCGCCCACCAGCCATCAGCCCGGCTTCTGGCTGAAGGCGCTTCCCCTGTGAGAGTGCACTGACCACCAGAGGGCAGCTCCTGTATTGAGCGTCTTCCCCCTGGTGGTCAGTGTGCATCATAGTGACTGATTGTTCCATCGCTTGGTTTTCATATTACTTTTTTATTATATAGGATATTTATTTAAGAAATACTTGAGTACTAACGGGAACTCTAGTGTCTGAACTCTTAAGCACTGTATATTTTAATCCTTCAAGAAATATAAGTAGCTTAATTATTTTGTTGTTTTCTTTGTTTCCAGATCTTTTAGTTGACATGTTGGGAGTGCTGGCTAGCTATAATTTGACAGTTCGAGAACTAAAGCTATTCTTCAGTAAACTTCAAGGAGATAAAGGACAATGGGTAAAATAAAACTAAGTACTCTTTGGTATTTGAAAGTATACAGAGGGGTCAGATGTCAAATTGAAGGAAAGGGATCAATTAAAATAGCATTTAGATCTATACAGATGTTTTGCCATGACCTGACACAGATGTAGATTAAGGGAACTGGGTGTTTTAGGCAGTAAATTGGTCCTTCTTCACATTGCTATTCTTCACTATATATCCAACATTTTTTTTTAGGAAAAGGGTAAGGACAAAAATAAATAAATAAATAAATAAAAGTTTTAGGGTTGCAGCACCCAGATTCTTTTTCTGTTGATATGAGTAGTATACCATGGCCTTTACATACGAATGGCCCATTCAATGAACAAACCCCTACTCCACCACCTTTTAGGTAATTGGATCCACCTCCTTAGATGCAACTTAGTGGATGATGTGATGATCAACTTATTTTGAACTCTAGCTGCCTTATCAAACTGTTTTTTTTTCTACTGCTTAGTTAATTCTCCCTTAGAATACTAGCAAATTTTCTCCATTTTACATTTTTAGACTTACTTTAGTGCCCTTTAGAGATTAGCATCTGCTAGCTAATCCTTAATCTAGCTTTGTTTAAGAGTATTTAAATTTGTGCTCTGAGTTATGTACTCTGTTGTATTAAGATGGTTAGACACTCTAGCTTATTTGTATCAAACTCTAGTTCTCAGGCTACTTTTAAGATGTTATCACTAATTTTCAGCAATTTTTATTTCTTTATGTGATTTACCTTGTGTTTATCTTTGTTAAGGTTCTTGGATCTGTGGGTTATACTATAATTTTTATCAAATTTGGAAATATTTTGCTCATTATTAAAAAAAATTTGGTCCCTTTTTTCTTTCTTCTGGGACTCTAATTACATGTAGCGCGCGCTCGCGCTCTCTCTCTCTCTCTCTCAAATTAAAAAAAAATTAATTCCCAGGGAGGGAGAAACATCAATGATGAGAATCATCGATTAGCTGCCTCCTGCACGCCCCCTACTGGAGACTGAGCCTGCAATCCAGGCATGTGCCCTGCACAGAAATCAAATACTGACATTCTGGTTCATAGGTCAATGTTCAGTCACTGAGCCACATTGCCCAGACACATGTAGCTCTGTTGAGTCTCCCACAGTCACTGAGATCTGTTCACTTTTTTTCCCAATCTTTTTTCTTTGTGCTTCATTTTAGATTGCTTTATTGCTGTATTTTAAGGTAACTTATCTTCTGTACTGTGTTTATTCCATCCATTAAAAATTTCAGATTACCTTTTCTATAAATTTCAGACATTTTTTATTTCTGTAAATTTGCTTCCTTTTTTAAAAAATATATATATTTCTATTGATTTCAGAGAGGAAGGAAGAGGGAGAGAGACAGACAGAAACATCAATGATGAGAGGGAATCATTGATTAGCTGCCTCCTGCAAGCCTCCCACTAGGCCTCCCACAACCTGGGCCTGTGCCCTTGACTGGAGTTGAACCTGGGACCTTTCAGTTGCAGGCTGATACTCTATCCACTGAGCCAAACCGGCAGGAATATCCTTTTAATATCTTCTGTTTTTACCTCATTATGTCCATGTTGTCTTTTAAATCATTGGAAATCTTTAGCATATTTTATTTTATTTTATTTTAAAATATATTTGTATCGATGAGAGAGAATCATTGCTTGGCTGCCTCCTACACACCCCATACTGGGGATTGAGCCAGTAACCTGGCCATGTGCCCTGGCCAGTTGTGGAACCAGGACCTCCTGTTTATAGGTCGACGTTCAACCACTGAGCCACATTGGCCAGGCCTAGCATATTTTAATAGTTGCTTTAATGTTTTTACATATAGAAACTGTATATCACTGGGCATGAACATTTTATTTTATTTTTTATTATTTTATTAATTTTTTACAGAGAGGAAGGGAGAGGGATAGAGAGTTAGAAACATCAATGAGTGAGAAACATTGACCAGCCGCCTCCTGCACACCCCCACTGGGAATGTGCCTGCAACCAATGTACATGCACCTGACCGGAATTGAACCTGGGACCCTTCAGTTTGTAGACCGATGCGCTATCCGCTGAGCCAAACTGGTTTCGGCTGGGCATGAACATTTAAAAAAAATCTTACAACATAAATTATTTTTTGAAAAGCTTTCCCAGTGTATAATCTCTCAGCAGTGTCTGTGAAGGAAAGTGCTTATCTTTTTTTGTTTTTAATGCGCTTTTATTGATTTTTTTAGAGAGAGGAAGGGAGAGGGATGGAGAAATAGAAGCATGGATGAGAGAAACATCATCGATCTGCTGCCTCCTGCACATTCTCTGCTGGGGATTGAGCTTGCAACCCTGCCATGTGCCCTGACCAGAACCTAACCAGTGACCTCTTGGTTCATAGGTCCACGCTTAACCATTGAGCCACACTGGCTGGTGAAAGTGCTGGTGTATTTTGTTGATTGGTTTATAGAACCAGGAATTTTGAGGAATGACTTCTCTATATGGAAATGCTATAATACTGTATTTTTATTTCAGATGCAGAATTAATTTTTATTTCATTTTTTAATTTATTTTAAAAAATGAGTGTGATTGTAGTTACTTGTCATTACACTTTTATAATAAGCAGTGTGGTAGATGGGAAATTTTTTGATCACTTAAAAGTGAAGTTTTTTACTTAACAGTTAGGTAAAATTCTGTCGGACTCTTGGACAGTTAGTAATAACTTAGAGCAGCAGCCATGTGTGATGAAAGGGAGCCAGTGATTTCACTTATAGTGTGACATGGTTTGGAGCTTTTAACAAAAAAGACTGTACTACACTTTATCTCATTTGCTTGTAAACTGATTAAAATGATAATGTATATCCGATTGACCTTTGCTTTTTCTTGTAAATGTAAGTTAGGTTTTTCATTTTAGCTGTTGGTTGTTTAATGCTTCAGAGGAGATTGTGGGTCAGAGAGGCATTAATCAAATAAATGTAATGTCACAACTTGTATAATATGTGCTACATAGTGAGATATATTGTAGAATGCGATATTATAGGGAGATTTGATCCAGTCTCAAGGGTTAGGGAAGACTGCCCTGAGGAAGTCACCATGAAGATGAGCTCTAAAGGATGGATGCTATTTGTTTAGTTATAGGGCAGGGGAGTAGGCTTAGTGAGAACATTTTTAGCACAAGGAATAGCTTGTGCTCAGGCCCTTTTATGACAGAGAAGGCATTGTGGATGGAGTGCAGAGAAGAGAAAGTTGAAATACAAAATGAGGCTAACAGTGTAGGTAGAGCTAGATAAAGTATCTTGTAAGTCATGTGAGGGGCTTTGGTCTTTATTTTAAAGGCAATAGGAAGCTACTGGAAAAAATAATATCAAGGTAAAATTATAGTAGTTAAAAGCATAGTCGCAGGAGTCAGATTGAGTTCTGATCCCATCTTCTTCACCACTACCTGTGTGACCCTGGGCATGTACCTCAGACACCTTTATTAAATGGCTTAATAATTCCTACTGTGGTTATAAAGTTAAAGTATTTTATTTTTAATATGCCCTTAAAGATAGAACCAGTAAGCATTATTTATATGTGAAATTTAAAAAAAGTGTTTTAAAGAGGGATGGGTGGTGGGTTGATTTACTTGGTAATTTTAAGAGATAATTTTTTATTTATTTTATTTTATTGATTTTTTACAGAGAGGAAGGGAGAGAGAGAGAGAGCTAGAAACGTCGATGAGAGAGAAACATCGACCAGCTGCCTCTTGCACACCCCCTGCCGGGGATGTGCCCGCAACCAACGTACATGCCCCTGACTGGAATCGAACCTGGGACCTTTCAGTCCACAGACCGACGCTCTACCACTGAGCCAAACTGGTTTCGGCTTAAGAGATAATTTTTGCTGCAGTGTGGAGAAAGAGTTTTTAAGTGTCAAATGATATTGGCTCATATTTACTAAATACCTCATACATCTTATAGTATTTAAAAAAATGGCATAGAGTTTGTTGTACTAAAGTAGTTGAAAATAACCTTTCTCTGGTTATTTTATGCTTTTTGGCTTATAGCATTATTTGGTTATTCTTGGATGTATCGAAGTATGACTGTATGAAAAGTAGGTAGTTTTGTTCTATGGTACATAATATGGTTAATGAGCTGGTGATTATTTTCATAGCCTCCACATGCTGGGAAGTTGCTGTCTGTGTTAAAGCATGTGCCTCAGAAGTATGGTCCTGATGCCTTTTTCAACTTTCCAGGAAAAAGCGCTGCTGTAAGTAATCTTAATGAGGAAGTCACTTGAAATTCTTTCTTTTGCTTCTTTAAAGTATAGCCCTGTAAACACCCCTGCCAGGTTCTGTATTAGGTAGAAACTCCAATCTGGGATCCCTTGAGGGATGTCTGATATCCCTCTCACAATCCAGGAATTCTGGCTCCTAACTGCTCGCCTGATTGCCCATAACAGCTTCTGCCTGCCAGTCTGCTCACCCCCTAACCACTTCTCTGCCAGCCTGATCAATGCTTAACTGTTCCTCTGCTGGCCTGATTACCCATAACGGCCCTCCCCTGCTGGCCTGGTTGCCCCTAACTGCCCTCCCCTGCTGGCCCCATCACCCCTAACTGCCCTCCCTTGCCAACCTGTTCACCTCTAATGGCCCTCCCCTGCCGACCTGATCACTCCCAACTGCTCTTGCCTACAGGCCTGGGTCCCCCTCAACTGACCTCCCCTGCAGGCCTGGTTCCCCCTCAACTGACCTACCATGCAGGCCTGGTTCCCCCTCAACTGACCTCCCCTGCAGGCCTGGTTGCCCCCAACTACCCTCCCCTAACAACTGGTCCAGTCACCCCCTAACAACCCTCCCCTGTAGGCCTAATCACCCCCAACTTCCCTCCCTTGCAGGCTTGGTCCCTTCTCACTGCCCTCCCCTGCTGGCCATCTTGTGGTGGCCATCTTGTGTCCACATGTCTATTGTGTTTTGGAGTGATGGTCAATTTGCATATTATCTCTTAGGATTTAGCTCTATGATGTTTTCATGTTTTATGGAATATTTTCATGTTTTATGTAATTTTCAATAAACTTGAAAATGATATTTGTGTATATGACACATATAATTGTGTATATGATAAGCAAAATCTTTTTTAATATGATTTTTTTAACAGTTTTATTGAGCTATAATTGACATACTACAGAATTCACTCGTTTAAAGTGTATAATTGAATGGTTTAGTGTGTTCACAAAGCTGTGCAACCATCATTACCAGTTAATTTTAGACCATTTCATCATCTCTCCAAAGAAAAATCGTATTCATCAACAGTCACTGTTCATTTCCCCCAAACTCCCAGGCCTAGGTACCCACTACTCCACTTTCTGTCTCTATGGGTTTATGTATTCTGGACAATTCATACAAATTGAATCATACAGTATCTTTGTGATTTGTTTTTTTTCCACTTAGCATACTGTTTTCAGGGTCTGTCCATGTTGTAACATGTAGCAGTGCTTCATTCCTTTTTGTGACTAGTATTCTAGCATAAAAATGACCTTGTTTTGTTTAATCATTCATTCACTAGTGGGTATTTGAGTTGATTTCACTTTTTGGTAAAGCAGCAATGGGCTTTTGTGTACAAGGTTTTGTGTGGACATACGTTTGAATGTATCTTGTGTGTGTGTATCTAAGAGTGGAATTTCTGGGTCATATGGTGTATGTTTAACCATTTGAGGAAGTCCCAGGTTGTTTTCCAGTGGCAGTATAATTTTACAATCCCAGAAGCAATTTATGAGGGTTCCAATTTCTTCACGTGCTTACCAGCACTTGTTAATGTCTTTTTTATTATCGCCATCATAGTGGGTGTGAAGTAGTGTCTTCTTGTGGATTTGGCTTTCATTTTTTTAATGGCTAATGATGTTGAAATGAAAGACATTTATAAATGTCTTTACTGGCCATTTGCATATCTTCTTGGAGACATGTCTACAAATGTTTTGTTCATTTAAAATTTTTACTTCTCTTTTTATTATGAATTGTGAGTTCTTTCTATATTCTGGTACATGTTACTTATACATGATTTGCAAATGTTTTCTTTCATTATTTTGCCTTTTCAGTTAAAAATATTTTTATTGATTTCAGAGAGGAAGGGAGAGGGAGAAATAGAAACATCAATAAAAAGAGAGAATAATTAATTGGCTGCCTCCTGCATGTCTCCCTGTAACCTGGACATGTGCCTTGTCCGAGAATCGAACTGTGACCTCCTTGTTCATAGGTCGACACTCAACCATTGAGCCACACCAGCTAGGCTATTTTTATTTTCTTGATAGTATCCTGTAAAGTACAAAAAATTTTAATTTTAAATATGTCCAATTCATATATTTTTTCTTTTGTTGCTTGTGTTTTAGTGCCATAATTAAGGAACATTTTCCTAACCCAGTGTCATGAAGATTTACCGTAATTTTTTAAATGAGAGTATTACAATTTCAGCAGTTACATTTACATCTATGATCCTTTTGGGGTTAATTTTTGTATCTGATGTGAGAAGTGGTCAACTTATCCCAGCATATTTGTTTAAAAAACGATTCTTTCCTCTTTGAATTATTTTGACAGACTTGTTGAAAATCAACTGACCACGAATACTAAGGTTTATTTTTGGGCTTTCTGTTCTATCCCATTGATCTATATTTCTATCTTATAGCACACAGCTTCATTATAGTAGCTTTGTGCTGTAGGTTTTGAATTTTCTATTATGAGTACTCTCTAGTATTCTTATTTTTTAAGATTCTGGGTCCCATGGCATTACTATGATCTTTTAAATAAAATTTTAAATCAAGTTGTAAAGTCAATTCAGTTTAAAAATGTTGTGAAAAAATTGTTACAAACAAATCCTCTTCAACATTATATTTGTTGTTACAAAATATCATATCCAAACTTTTCCCTTAACTTTTATTCCTTTTTTGCTCATCTTTTTCTATTCAATTATCTTAACATTTCATCAATAAAGTTCCACTTTGATATTACTATCTATCTTTTTTAATTGGAATATCTTTGATATGTTCATTGTTATTTCATAAATAAAGCAAACAAATTAATGTGTTCAGGATGTCACATAGGATGTTTCTAATGTTTGATTAGATATCATTATTGCATATTTTAGAAATTATTAAAAGTCTTCCAGATAAAGATTCTAGATATTTTAATGATAACATAGAATAATAAGCATTGTAAAATCTAATTTTCATGATTTCACTAAAAAAGTTTTTCATGTGAGTCAGTAACTCAAAGTTTTTTTCTTTAGGCGATTGCATTACCTCCTATAGCCAAATGGCCATATCAGAACGGTTTTACATTTCATACCTGGCTTAGAATGGATCCTGTAAATAACATCAATGTGGATAAGGATAAACCGTATTTATATTGGTATGTATTTCTGTTCCTTAGTGTTAATTATCTTACTCTGAAAATGAGAAGGATATTTAGAGGTAAAATGAAACCTATTCTTTAAAGTTTCAGAACCAGCAAAGGTCTTGGTTATTCTGCTCACTTTGTTGGGGGCTGTTTGATTATAACCTCCATAAAGTCGAAAGGAAAAGGCTTTCAACATTGTGTGAAATTTGATTTCAAGCCACAAAAGGTATGTAATCTGAGTCATAGTTGTGTTAACAAGTTATCTAGCCTTCAAGATGCTTTGTTTGAATATTATTGTTATAATATGTGATATCACAGCTCTGTTTATAATGCCTCAGAAAATGAAGAATAAGTCAATGGACAATTATTAACCTCTCTGATTTGGATAATAAAAAGAGTGGTATTTAGTTTTTTATAGAGTTTAAGCAAAATACAAGGTGAAAATATCAATGGCAAAAATTTTAGTATTATTATTACTAGTAGTAATATGTGTTGTTTTTAATCCTTGAAAATTATTATTTTCATAAGTGTTTTATGAAAAATGTGTATATATACATATATAGGTAGATGGGAATAAAGATAGATGGGTATATAGATAGATAAAGCAAATATGACAAAATGTTGACAATTGTGGAATCTAGGTGGCAAGAAAGAGGGTGTTTGTACTAAACTTTAAACTTTTGAGGGGTTTATTAGAAAATTTTCATAATAAAACATTGGAAAATAATATCATGATCAAGTTCTTATCCTCTGAGAGCTCCTTTGATTAAATATTATTACAGAGCTTGAATATTGAATTTAAGATAGTCATATTTTTTCATTGTAATTTATTATTTAATTTATAGTAGTTATCATCAATATGATTGAGTTATTAGAAGGATTAATATATCCCTTTCTTTTTTTAAAACTGTTTTTGCTTATTCAGTGGTATATGGTAACTATAGTGCACATTTATAACCGATGGAAGAACAGTGAGCTCCGGTGTTATGTGAATGGTGAGCTAGCTTCCTACGGAGAGATAACATGGTTTGTCAACACCAGTGATGTAAGTAGTTTGAAATGTTAAGATGAAAAAAACTTATTTTAAAAGCATGAACTTTTCAAATAAGAAATATTTTACATCGAATATAAATTTTGGAATACTACAGTGGTGTGTTTTTATAGTTACAGTTTGTCTATCATGTTTTTAAATTTTTATTCTTATAGTAGTATAACAGTTATCTTCCATTTGTTTCCCTCTTTGCTCACCTCTTCCCAGCCCCTACCCTCTTTTCTTTCCTCCCCTGGTTTTCACCACAGTTTTCTGTAACCACAGGCTATGCATACATGTTTGTTGGCTTATCTATTCAAGAATAGAACTGTGTTAATGTGTCACATAAGATATTTCTCAGTTCTTATTATAAAATTATTCTGTATAGGTTATAGATAAAGATTTATGTGAAACATTGGATATATCTTGAAAGTGTGTTTCATTGATCCATTGATCAAATTAAATGTGTGAGATTTACAGGGTTCTGATAATTTTTATAAATGAGTTAGATGATGCATACTTACAAATTTTGCATATAATTTGTAGCTGTTATAGATAACTATTATGTTATAATGTTTTCAGCATTCAATAGAAGACCCATATGTTAGAATTAAACTTAAATATCTTCCTCCCCAGGTTATGTTCTTAATAGAAAGTTTAAGAAATACAGATCAGCCCTGTTGGCATGGCTCAGTGGTTGTGTCGACCTATGAACCAAGAGGTCATTGGTTCAGTTCCCAGTTAGGACACATGCATGGGTTGTGGGCTCGATCCCGTGTTGGGCGTGGAGGAGTCAGCTAATCAATGATTTTCTCTTATCATTGACTAGAAGACTGGTGCATGAAATTTATGCACTGGAGGGGGAGTCCCTCAGCGCAGTCTGGGAGCCCTCAGGGGATGTCCTTCTTACGGCTTAGTTGCATTCCCTGCAGTCCTAAGTCATCAGTAAGCCTCCCTCTACAGGAGGCAATCTGGATGATCAGGGGAAGGCACTGTCCCCATCACCCCGCTGCTGCTGCCACTGCTGGCCACGACAGCCGCCAAGATGTTTTCATCAACAGGGACTCCAGTCCCTTCACCATGAAAAAAATGACAAATTTCTTTAGGCATTTTTAAGATGTCTCTTTCATAGGATATGACATTTATTTATTTATTTATTTATTTATTTATTTATTTATTTATTTATTTATTTCCTCACCTGAGGATATTTTTCCATTGATTTTTAGAGAGTATGGAAGAGAGAGGGAAAGACAGAGAGAAACATCAATGTGAGAGGACACATTGAGCCCTGACCTGGACCCTGGTGAGGGAGGAGCCTGCATCCTAAAATAAAACTGCTAAATTGGATACAATCTGGCTAATGTCCTACAGGATAATACAACCATCACTTTTTGAATTGGTGTGTCTTTTAGATAGAAATTACATCTTTAAAAGCCTGAAAATTCTTTTCATCTTTTCACTTTGCTGATCATTATATGTAACTTTCCAGAACTGTAAAATGTCAAAATATATGGAACTTATTTAATTGTAAATAGTGTGTCAGAGTTATGTGTTTCATAGAAAAGGAAATGATCATTCTGTTGGCCTCTAATGCCCCAATTATACTGAAGGGATTTGCTGTCAACGTTTTACTCCAGGCCTGTGCTGGGCCACGGCCTGTGCTCCCAGGCTGCTTGGTGGAACCGCCCTGGCCTCCCAGAGTGGGCAATGGTCCCAAGAGTCTGCGGGCATGGCTTGGTGCCACTGCCCTCGCCTCCTAGGGTCGGTGATGGTCCCTGGAGCCTATAGGCTTGGTGCCCATCCCCAGGACCCAGGCCGTTTGGTGCTGTGTCGTGTCCCCCCCCCCCCCCCCCCCCCCCCCCGGCCGCTTCGTGCCTGAGTATGCAAACTGACCTGTCCTCTTTGCTGGGTTAATTTGCATACTCATCCTGATTGGCTGATGGGCGTCATGGAGGTATGGTCAATTTGTATCTTTCTTTTTTATTAGTGTAGATGTTTCTATCTCCCTCTCCCTTCCTCTCTGAAATAAATAAAAAATATTAATAAAATAAATAAAATAAATCTAGACCAGGGGAATGAATAAAAAGTGTGTATTATCTATTCACCATTATCTCCTTTTATTTTTTTATTTTCTTTAAACTTTACCTTTATTGTTGAAAGTATGTCCCCTTTTTTCCCCTATTGACCTCCTTCACTATGTTCCCACCCAACTCCTCCTTTTATGTATGTCTTATGCTATATGTATTTACATATTTATAATGCTAGTCTTAAGAGCTCAAGTTGTTATAACAGATTAGGTTTGAATATCAGCTCTTTGAATATCTGTCATTTAATGACTATATGACCTACCTTAATCTATTAGGCCTCAGTTTTCTCTACCTAAAAATGGGTACAAAATAGTATCTATCTCAGAAGATTAATGTGATTAAATGAGATACTGTGCAAAGATCCATTAGCAGATTGCTCAATGACTGTTCTCATTATTGTATTGTTTTTTAAACCTGTTTTTTCCCTTACGTTAAACTTTATGAAGTGCTTCTTGCATTACAGGCATTGTAATAAATACCTTTATTTTCTAAAAGCCCCAGTGTTGTAAGCTAAGAACTTTTTAATCTCCATTTTACAAATGAGACTGAAGCACAGAGAGGTTAAGTAGCTTGCCAATGTCAGCAGCATGGTTTGTCTTTAGAACCCAAGTGTTAACATATTCCCTAAGGTTAATACGTGTTTTTCATCATTCTTTCAAATGGTTTCTAGGTACACAATGATACTTTCAAAGAGATATGGAAAACTTTAATTCTTGTCCCTTTGTTGTAAACATGGGTTTTCTTAAATGCAGTTTTTGCAACCTGGATGTTGTTAAAAGGATTTTTTTTTTTTTTTTTTTTTTTTGTAGAAGCAAAAAAATACACCTTTATTTCTGGATTTATACATTTCTTTCGAGGGATTGCTTCTATTCCCATGACTTTACTCATCATCTATATCTTGATATCTGCAAAAAGCTGTCTAGAATTTTATTTAATATTAAGACTATATGTAAAATCAATATTCTGTATATAAAGCACCCCTCCTGTCAACAAAAACCTTGGGATTTTCTTGCATGAGAACACCAATGTGGTGGAAAGCTTTGAATTTTGTTAAAAAAGAAAATAAAACCACAGCTATCTAGTGCAAAAAAACCTATTTTTACAGTTTTAACTTCTTACCAAACTTACAGGACCCTGTTGACAGTTGCTCCTCTGTTCACATGAGCTCACAGTAAAGACAGATTCATTATATCCCATACTTAGCTCTTGATTTTCCTCCACACTCCAAAGCCTGCTCTTTTGTCTGGTTCTGAGGTTATCCAGTTATGAACCTTGAGTCCATAATGAAATCTCTGACTCTGTTTCCTATTTTGCTATCAAGCTTTAATTTTTCTTTTGTAAACGTGTCTTATCTGCTTCTCTGTGAGGTATCTCTTGATCACTACAACAGATGGGAAAGAATGAAGTGTAATGGCTAAATGAATTATTTTAATATATTTTGATTTTAGTTTAGAATGAACATTTGTACCAATTTAGGTTGTTATTTCTGGAGAAGATAATTTTTCCTAATAAAATTTTCTGTGTTCTTTCATAGACTTTTGACAAATGTTTCCTGGGCTCGTCAGAAACAGCAGATGCTAATAGAGTATTCTGTGGTCAGATGACTGCAGTGTACCTTTTTAATGAAGCTCTTAATGCAGCTCAGATCTTTGCTATTTATCAGTTGGGCCTGGGATACAAGGTACTTTACTTGCTGTTCACTGCTTAATCAGTATTAGTTGAGCTTGATTCAAAGGTGGGTGATTCATGGGGCAACTTACTTTGGATTACAGACTGTTTATATCAAAGTAATCATGAGCACCACAGAAAGTCACAGGTGTCCAAAGGTACTTTAATTTTTTGAGGGAAATACAGTATACTTGTCATATGTGGAGTGCTAGCTTAAGTTTTGACTTTAGATCATGCTGAATTTCTTGTAATGACATTAATCTTTGCATAGCTAAGTTTTCTGTAATTACTGTGTTAGAAAGCAAGTGCCACATGAAAATTAGTGTGAAACAATGAGGATGAGGTATGAAGTTTGTTTCCAAAGTAGGAGAACTTATCCAGTGACCAAGATGTATACACATACCATTAATAAATAATTTAAGGGAACATTTTTTTTCTAACTTGGGCATTAATCTTTTTAAATGACTACTAAATTGTAAAAATATAAAGTTTTTTGGATCAAACTACTTAATAAACAGAAATGTTCAATATTTATTTTGGTCTAGAGCAGTGGTCAGCAAACTCATTAGTCAACAGAGCCAAATATCAATAGTACAACGATTGAAATTTCATTTGAGCATCAAATTTTTTAAACTTCTTCTAACGCCACTTCTTCAAAATAGACTCGCCCAGGCTATGGTATTTTGTGGAAGAGCCACACTCAAGGGGCCAAAGAGCCACATGTGGCTCTCGAGCCGCAATTTGCCAAAAACGGGTCTAGAGCATACAAATTTACTGAGATGCTAAGAATGTCACAAACCAAGAAAATTTGGGAACTTTAGGTAAAGCAATTGTTGGTATAGTTTTTTACGGAGACATTTAATGTCTACTATGTTTCTTTGAAAACAATCAACTTTGAGTTGATTTACATTTAATTACAATTAATATAGTATACATATATAAAGTTACCATATGATTAAACAGTCTTGTGTGCATATATCCAAAGTAATTGAAAGCAGGATCTGAAAGAGATATTTGTGTTACACATGTTCATTGCATCATTATTTATAACTAGAGGCCCAGTGCACAAAATTCATGCACTGGAGTCCCTCAGCCTGGCCTGCCCCCCCTCTCAAAGTCCAGGAGCCCTCAGGGGCAGGAGGTAACCCAGCGATCAGGGGAAGGCGATGCCCCATCACACTTCTGCTGCTACCACTGCCAGCAGTGCAAGCTTTGGCCGGCCCTGGTTACCTGAGCCTTGGGTGGCCCTGAGCAGCTGGGTAGCTGCCATCCAAGGCTTGTCTGTGCCTTGGGCTGGCACTGGGTGGCTGAGAGTCCAGAGGCAGTGGGGCTGAGAGGACTGGGCACCGCAATCTTTGAGGGCATGGCAGTCAATTAGTGTATTCCCTCCTTATTGGCTGTGGGTTCTGCCATCTTTGTGAGGGTGTGACAGTCAATTAGCATATTCCCTTTTATTAGATAGGATAGCCAAGAAGTTGAAGCAACCTAATTGTCCATGGACAGATGAGTAAAGAAAATATGGTATTACATATAGTGGAAAATTATTTAGTTTTAAAAAGAAGGAACTCTATCACATGTAGTAACATGGTGAATCTTAAGATCATTAAGCCAGTCACAAAAAGACAGATACTCTATGGTTACACTTGAAAAAGTTACATAAAGTAGTGAAACTCACAGAATTAGAAAGTAGAATGTTGGTTGCCAGGGAATGGAGAGAGATGAAAATGAGATGCTCACTGGGTATTGAATTTCAGTTTGGCAAGATTTAATAGTTCTAGAGATTGGTTATATGATGTACATATAGTTAACACTACTGTACTATAGACTTATAAAATTTATCATCTTAAATATTTTGTGCTTTTTGCTAAAGGTTTTAGAAAATGACAAAGTAAAAACAAAATACTCTTGTGTATATACTGTTTTATATATATATATATATATATATATATTTATATATATATATATATATTTTTTAAATATAAGATTTTAATGTGAAGTTGACTTGTTTTCCATTATATTTTTAATATGAATTCAGTCCATTTCAGAATTAAATGGACAATCTCATCCTAGTTAATAGTGTTAGGAAAATGATCAGTGGTGTGTCTCCTTAAATTTTTATAACTGTGGTGCTTTGTATCCGGATTTTCTTTTTGTGGCATTTTGTCTCAACTGTTCTACTTTTTTATTCTTAGGGTACATTTAAATTCAAAACAGAAAGTGATCTGTTCCTGGCTGAGCATCACAAACTTTTATTGTATGATGGCAAACTCTCTAGTGCCATTGCATTCACATACAATCCACGTGCTACAGATGCCCAGCTTTGCCTGGAATCATCCCCTAAGGACAACCCTTCGATTTTTGTTCATTCACCACACGCACTCATGCTCCAGGTACTAGCTAGAATCTTTTAAGAATATTTTTAATGGTAATTTTTGATTTTTATTGATGTGTATTTGGTTTCTTCTATTAAATATATGCAATGTAACATTCCATTGTCCCTGTTATGCTTTATTTTTAATTGTTTTGGAAGTGAAATCATTGGGATGTTTATGGTTCTTCTATTTTATAAGGATGTGAAGGCAGTTTTAACACATTCCATCCAAAGTGCCATGCATTCCATTGGAGGGATACAAGTTCTGTTTCCGCTTTTTGCACAGTTGGATTATAGGCAGTACTTATCTGAGGAGGTTGACTTGACTATATGGTGAGTGAGTGCCTTTGTTTTTTGCTTTAATTTTATGTGAGTTACTGTCATTATTGTCCAGTTGCACAGTAATTTTTCTGCCTTTTAAATTTGTTGTAGGGTTAAAAAATATAATTCAAAGAAACTTGTGAACTATAAATGTTATTACAAATTCATATCAATAATGGTATAATAGTATTGATTTAAGTTATTCCTTATCAGTAGGAAATATAGAAGCTCTAAAAGAAGTTTTTATTTGTTTTGTTTTTTGTTTTTGTCCGGCTGGCATAGCTTAGTGGTTGAGGGTCAACCTATGAACCAGGAGATCACAGTTGTAATCAGATTCCCAGTGGGGGGCATGCAGGAGGCAGCCAATCAATTATTTTCTCTCTCTCATCATTGATGTTTCTCTCTCACTCCATCCTCTCTGAAATCAAAGAAAAGATATTAAAAAAAAAATAAAGTTGTTTTTTAAATAAAGTTAGAAATAATGGATTTATCAGAAATAAAAACATTTTTCTATATTCTAATTTAAAAAATTTAAATTATTTGTTAGTGACTTATGGGAATTTAGCTTTTCATATTAATTGATTGTAATTGAAATCTAAATTTTTGATGTTATATAATAGGTGCTTTAATCTTTTTTTTATTAGATTATATATTTGGCACATTTTGTCTCTTGTAGTGTTTGAGTCTAAAAAGGCAGAGACTTATTAATTTTAGGACAATTTATAAAGCTTTGAAGAGGATGTCTAAATGAATTATTCATGATTCTGTAGTCTAGTGAAATATTTACAGTAAAATAATTACATTTAATTTATTATTTGGGTAATTTAAAGGAGTTTCCCATTGTCTCTTTTGAATTTTTTTTTTTTAATATATATTTTATTGATTTTTTACAGAGAGGAAGGGAGAGAGATAGAGAGTTAGAAACATCGATGAGAGAGAGTCATCGATCAGCTGCCTCTTGCACACCCCCCACCGGGGATATGCCCGCAACCAAGGTACATGCCCTTGACCGGAATCGAATCCGGGACCTTTCATTCCCCAAGCCGACGCTCTATCCACTGAGCCAAACCGGTTTCAGCATCTTTTGAAATTCTTTCTCTGATTTTTGCTTTTATATAACTAGAGGTCTTCTACCATTGTATATATTTAATGATGTAAGAATTTTCTCCAGAGTAATTTTAGGAAACAAAATGACTTTTTTAAAAAAAGGAATGAAGTATCAAATCTAGTAGTTGTTGATTTTAGGAGATGAAAATGATTCTTGACATATTACTACTTCATATATATATATATATATATATATATATATATATATATATATATATAATTATTTTTTTTTTTTGCATCCTGGTCTAAAATCTTTGTTACAAAGCTTAGTTATTTTTTTAAATTGTTTATCGTTTTCTTTTCTACATCTTTACTGGAATTGCTGATAGTTAAAAGCAATTTTGCAGAGGAGGCTGATTGCCAGTTTTCTCTTTTTTTGTGAGACAGTCTCAGAGCCTTTGGAAAAAAGGTAACAGCTGACCTTATTCCATTCCATTTCAGATATCTCTAAAAGTTGTGAGGATGGAAGCATGGCTGCTCAATTTTAAAAGTCTTCCAACTTCTTGTTGAATTCTGATTTTCCTGTTGGGATAATGAACACAATTCTTAGTGTTTGAGGACTTCAGTTTGTCTTCAACTTTAATGTTTTTTTTATTTTATATTTTATTGATTAAAAAAATATATTTCATTGATTTTTTTACAGAGAGGAAAGGAGAGAGATAAAGAGTTAGAAACATCGATGAGAGAGAAACATTGATCAGCTGCCTCCTGCACAACCCGCACTGGGGATGTGCCACAACCAAGGTACGTGCCCACAACCAAGGTACATGCCCTTGACCAGAATTGAACCTGGGACCCTTCAGTCCTCAGGCCGACGCTTTATCCACTGAGCCAAACTGGTCAGGGTAACTTTAATGTTTATTTATTTTATTTTATTTTATTTATTATTATTATTTTTTTAAAATATATTTTTATTGATTTTTTCACAGAGAGGAAGAGACAGGGATAGAGAGTTAGAAACATCAATGAGAGTCATCAGTCAGCTGCCTCTTGCACACCCCCTACTGGGGACATGCCCGCAACCAAGGTACATGCCCTTGACCGGAATCGAACCCGGGACTCTTCAGTCCACAGGCTGATGCTCTATCCACTGAGCCAAACCGGTTTCAGCTATTTTATTTTATTGATTTTAAAGAGAGAGAGGCAGGGGAGAAAGACAGGAAGGAGATAGATCAATTTGTTACCCTACCATTTATGCATCCATTGGTTGTTTTTGTATGTGCAAGAGGATGCGAACTGACTGAGCTACCTGGCCAGGGCTCAACTTCACTTTCTTATATTCTCTTGTCCTGTTCAAAGTAGGCCAGTCTGGAATCCTAACACATTTTGAGAATTTCTACCCTAGTCTTTTTGCTCCACATATCTTTTTAAAAAAAAATATATTTTATTGATTTTTTTACAGAGAGGAAGAGAGAGGGATAAAGAGTTAGAAACATCAATGAGAGAGAATCATGGATCAGCTGCCTTTTGCACACTCCCTACTGTTGATGTGCCCGAAACCAAGGTACATGCCCTTGACCGGAATCGAACCTGGGACCTTTCAGTCTGCAGGCCGATGCTCTATCCATTGAGCCAAACTGGTTTATGCTATCTTTTTTAATGTCTTCATATATTTAATGTTAGCCATTTTATTATGTGGTTTTGGTCATTATTTTCGTGCATATTTGTCATATTGTTTCTAAGTAATTCAGTTATTTATATGTTTGTGATACAATATAGGAAATAAGTATTTGAGTAAATTCTAATTACATTAAAATTCTAGTCCTGTAATAATGTTGAGGTAGTTTTAGTAGAACTTATATTTCCTTGAAATAGAGAACCTTTACTAAGATTAATCTAACTTAAAAAAAAACACCAATCCACACATTTTTTTTTTTTTTTTAAACCGTAGTCTTTTTTTTATTCTAGTTCAACTTTGCTGGCTTTTATCATGGAGTTATTGAGGAATTCAATTGCCATGCAGGAGCAGATGCTTGCCTGCAAAGGCTTTTTGGTAATAGGATATAGTCTTGAAAAGGTAAAGTATAAAATGCTTTTTACATGTTTGATTCTTAATGTGTAGGCCATGACTTAGTCTCCTAAGTGGCTGAGAAACTGGGTCTGCAAGTGTTTCCAAGTGTCTCTTTAGTTAGGTAGAATCACTTAAATTAAAATAACCTTTTATTGTTTTTACCTTGCCACCTATTGCTTTATTAAATAAAAGTTGTTAAGTCTTATGTCATCTTTAACCTTGAGCAGTGGTTCTCAACCTTCCTAATGCTGCGACTCTTTAATACAGTTCCTCATGTCGTGGTGACCCCCAACCATAAAATTATTTTCGTTGCTTGCTACTTCATAACTGTAATTTTGCTACTGTTAAGGAATCGTAATGTAAATATCTGTGTTTTGTGACCCACAGGCTGAGAACCGCTATCAGGGTCACCTAAGACTAGGGGTGTCGAACTCAATCAGAGAAGGGACCAAAATCTAAAATCCAGCCTAAATCGCGGGCCGAATGGTTTACTGAACAGTCATAAACTGTCATTGTGATGGAAACGCAGCGGAGTACAGTGATGACAGCGCGGTGCTGGCCACATTGCAAGGCCTGGCGGGACGGATTTGGCCCACGGGCCTTGTGTTTGACACATGTGCCTAAGACAATCAGAAAATACAGATATTTACATTATGATTCACTAACAGTAGCAAAATTACAGTTATGAAGTAGCAACGAAAATAATTTTATGTTTGGGGAAACTGTATTAATGGGTCACAGCATTAGGAAGGTTGAGAACCACTGACTTAGATATAACTAGTAGGGCAATATTTTTCTGATATTAGCAACTTTTAATTTACTTACCTTGCCTTGTGATGATAGTGACCTCTGAAATATCTTGCCTTGCAGTCTTCCAAATCCCATGTCAGCAGAGCAGTGCTTGAACTTTGCCTTGCTTTTTCAAAATATCTGAGTAATCTGCAGAATGGGATGCCCCTACTCAAGCAATTGTGTGATCACATTCTTCTTAACCCCGCTATATGGATTCATACCCCAGCCAAGGTAATATATATGTGTATATTGACTTTGGTTTAGTGTCTTCAAATTTTTATACTTGAGTGATAAATGAGGATTTAAAAAATCCTTTTGTGTGCTATTATGTAAGATTTCACTGGAGTTCATTTTTGACTAAGCATATTTTTTAAGGTAAATTTGCAAGTCAGTATATCCTTTCTTTCTTTTATTTAAAAGCAACATTAATATATATATATTTTTAAAACTATAATCTTTATTTTCTGGTGTTATGTAAAAATAAAATTTTTATTTCAGAAAGACTTTAAATTACTAAATATGAATTAAAGTTGGACAGTTCCAACTTCGTAATGTTTCTATAACTATAGTTCAGTTCTATTGCAAATATATGTATATATGTGTATATATTTTTATTCCTTAACTCACTGTGCTGCTCTCTTTCCCTCTTCTTTACACACATATCCCTTCCATCAACATGATAAATTCCTGAGGTTAATTGTTAAGAAACAGCTGAAATTTCACCCTTACTTGAACACTGGTCTCATTTAATCATTTTAATTTCACATTAATTCAGATTATTAAATACAATTATATTTAGACACAATTTAGTACTGTAACAACAAACCAATTACTTATAATTGAACACATGTCTATTTGTGATAAAATATATAAATAAAACCTTTGATAAATCCTGATGTATTAAGTTGTCCTAAAAATATTAATAGTGGTAGTGTTAAGCAGAATTTGAAACAGAAAATTTTATTAAATTGCATAATTGCATCTGTTTCATCTGCAGTTTTTGTTAGAAGCTGTATTATTTCAAACTCCTTAATTGTCTCTCTGCCTCCTCCCTCCCTTCCTTTTGGTCCACTTGCAGTGCTTATCATTGTTTAGAATGGCACATACTTATTCTAGTTTTCAGGAAAAAATGTCTGCAGACTTTTTGCTTTTTCTAGAGTCATAGTATCTTATTTTCAGCTGGTCTTTTCAAACGATAAAGAGAAAAACAGCTGCTGACTCTGATTGCCATTTGGAAATAATCAAAGGAGGCAGCTGGAGGTTGTAGCTTTTTATCTGCAGGTTCAAATTTGACCTCTTTCTCTTTTGTGACCCTTGCTCTTATTTCTTTACAAGGTTTGTTTCAAGTTACTTTTTAAACTTTTACTAGACATGTCTTTGTCTTACTAAACAGCATATTTGTAAGGCTTGGGGTCTCTTTTGATGTGATCGAAAAAACTTGTTAATACTAAGTTGTAGTTTTAAAATTTTTATTATATCATTTCTGTAAGTTCCTAGTATTATTTGTTATGTTTTTCTTGTTAATAATTTTCTTTAATTTCCTCTTTAGAATTTGCAGTTGATTTGGTAATACTAAACTTTCCTTCTCTTTTAGCCATCTGCTTTGTGTATTCATGAGGAGTTATATCTACTTTTGTTTTATTAGAAATATAAGTTATAACAAAGGCTAGATTCAAAGTTTGTTTGACATGAAGGTCATATAATCTGGGTGAAGGAGGAACTTTTTAAGAAAAGTAATATGAACCCTGGATCATAGGTTTGATTCCTGATCGAGGGCATAGACCTGGATTGCAGGTTCTATCCTGGCTCTGGTTTGGGTGCCTGCAGATGGCAACCAATCGGTGTGTGTCTCCCACATCCTCACATTGATGTTTCCCCCTTCTTTCCTTCTTCTTTCCTTCCTCCCTCCCTTCTACTGTCTCTAAAGAAAATCAATGGAAAAATATTCTTGGGTGAGGATTAACAAATAAAAGAACAAGAATATGGCATAATGCATACACAATTAGATTTAGAATCTTGAAGGAACCTGTATGGATGAATGGGCACAGAGTTTAAGCTTTACTTGCTTTTTGGTAATTTCACCTCTGGTTACTGAAGTTGAGTGGATTGGATGCATGAATCAACCTTTGCTTTTGTAAAAGGATGTTCACAGTGATATATAATATCCATTTATCTTTGATGTGCTTAGCTACAGTCTTTTTAATGTCTTCACTAGAGAGATGGATTTTCTTGTATACAGCAGTCCTTCACTTGAGTGGCTGCTTTATGCTGGGCATATGGAATCAGTGTTGAACAAGACAGATCTAATTCCTGCCCTCATAGAGTTCAGGTCTAATGGGAAAGGTAGATGTTACCATGTAATTTATGTGGTTATTAGATTATATAATGAGTGAATGAGGAAAGGTTTATTCATAATTAACATATGAATAATTTTTGAGATTCCCATTCTTATCTCAATATGTGGCTATCTAATTTTATCCTGTTTTCCATATTTTTGTCACTTTTGGTCCAGAATTACTGTATGTTTTTAACATACCAGTCTCATTAAATCATTTCTGAGCCTTTAAACGTGTAATGATTTCCCATTGTTTTCAGTATAAAGTAGTCCCTTTTCTAGCATTAAGTTTCTAGGCCAGTTCTCCTTAGTAGGCTTTCTAGCTTAAAAATTCAGTTATCTTCAAAGGCTAGACAGATAACAAAATTTATCCTCGAGCAGTGGTTCTCAATCTTGGTTGTTGATAGGATCAGGAGAGTATTTTAGAAATAAAAGCAAGAACAGAATCCTATCTCCTTCACCCTAGATTCTGACTTAATTGGTGTAAGACAGGGCCCAGGCATCAGTATTTGTAATATATGGGCTGCTGAAGTGAGCACCAGGCTTCACGATTAAAAAAAAACAAATGTTTTTCGGGTATTTTAATGCAGTTAGTAATGAGAACCATTGTTCTAGATTTAGGGAAACTTTTTGTATCACTCACTATTATTTTCTGTTTGAAATTCCCCCTTTCTGTCTACCTATCCTACTCAGCTTCAAAATCTACATAGGAACCTACTCTATAAGTGAAGGTTTTGTTGACTATTTTAGCTTATCCTATAATTTCTCTGTCCTCTAAATTTATAGTATTTAATAGCCCTATGCCACTCATTTTGCATTTAACACATATTGCCTCATAACCTCTTTTGTTGCGGTGGGTATCTTTATTGCCATTAGTTTTTCACTTAAATTTGTGCGTATTTTTAAAATCTTAACTGCCATCTTATTTCCATAATGGAGTGCTCCGCATATAGGTGGATGTAAATATTTTCAGGATGACTGAAATAGCATTGTTAAGAATTTGAACCTGTCCCAGAAAGTGTTAAATATTTGCTTCAATAACAGGGAAACAGGTCCTATTTATTTGAGCAGCAGTAGCTACATCAAAATAATGTTATCTTCAGTAAGTCAGTGGATTACAGTGTTTCTAAACTATAATCATCCAAGCCTCAATGGTAAGTGGTTCAGAATCTGCCACTTTTTACCATTTATGATTTTTAAAAAAATATATATTTTATTGATTTTTGTACAGAGAGGAAGGGAGAGAGATAGAGAGTTAGAAACATCGATGAGAGAGTCATCGATCAGCTGCCTCTTGCACACCCCCTACTGGGGATATGCCCGCAACCAAGGTACATGCCCTTGACCGGAATCGAACCTGGGACCCTTCAGTCCCCAAGCCGACGCTCTATCCATTGAGCCAAACCGGTTTCGGCTTACCATTTATGATTAGTGATTGACTCCCTAAGTTATTTAGCCTTGATTGTTTCTTTATCGGGAATCTGACATCTAGATGATGGGCACCTATGCAATTTATAAGGTATATCCAGTGGCAATGAAATGAAAAACTCTTGATTTTGTCATTAGAATAGAGCCAAGGTAGTCCTTATATTTTTCTAAGTACTAGAGTGTAATTATTGGTGACTTTTAGAGCCATAACTTGACTGATTCTATGTTTAGTGGTGGGGCACCACTTAATTCTTTCTGTTTCTTGCATATTAAGAACTTATATATTTTGAAGATAATAAATTCTTGTGTGTTTATTTAGACTATTCAATTACAAATAAACCTAGTAGAATCCTTTCCTAATTGGGGGATGAGGATGATAAACATGTTTACAGACTTTAATGTTATGATTACAGTATTGGTAATATCGAGCAGAATTCTATTTTTTAACAAATATTTTTTAAGGTTGACTTTACATGTTTCTATATGGGTTTGTTTCTTTTGACTTATCTCTACTTTTATTTTTAACTACCTTTACTACTTTTTTCTTTCTTTTGAGTTATTCTAGCTTCTAATTTTCTTCAAAACAAAGAAAATCTCTAGATTTTAAAACCACTATGCATAGCATAAGTAGTAATTTTATTATAAAGAAGTTACACATGCTCATGAATAATTGCTGATTGTTAAGAATCAGTTTTTTTTTCATAATACGGCAGAAATTTGATATAGTTGGAGTGTTTATAATTCTACTGTTGTGTGCTTGTGTGTGTATATCAGTGGATATGTGTTACATTTATACATGGAAGTTATTACCAAGCTCAGCATCTTGCTTTTTGGAACAATACAGTTTAAGTAAAGCAGCCTGAGGGCATTAACTGGAAATGGGTAAAATGCTGGTTTGCTCCTTTGATTTAAGCTCTTCATTTTCATGCTCTAGGTTCAGCTGACACTCTATACTTACCTGTCCACCGAATTCATCGGTACTGTCAACATATACAATGCCATCCGGAGAGTTGGAACAGTGCTCCTCATCATGCATACACTGAAGTACTATTACTGGGCAGTGAATCCTCAGGATCGAAGTGGCATCATCCCAAAAGGATTAGGTATAGCAGCTCTGTCAGTGTATTATGCTGTATACTAGTACATGACAAATCAGGATTTTCTTTTCTTTTTTAACCAGTAATGTTCCAGTACTCTGGAAATTTTTCTAAATTTCATCATGGTAAAATTTCTTTTAGTCTGTTGATTATATTGATAGTTTGTCCTAAATTGTAGTTACCACAGGTTAATAACTTCTATTTTTAGAAAAAAATGCTACTTTTGTTGGTATTGTCTGGGGAGCAGCTATGACTAGAATGATAGTTTTAATTCACTGAAATGAGAAGAAAGTCTATATTAGCAACTGGTATTGATGCTGGTGCCAGTTGTCACAATGAGATAATTGAAAACAGTATTTTTTTTTTTGGGGGGGGGAGATGGAGATTTCTTGCAGAAGTAGGGAATATCTGCTTCAAATAAATAGTGTAATAAATTCACAACATTTCAGTAATTATTTTTCTGCATAAGCAAGAGACTTAATTACTGGAAGAATAAGAACTCATCATGTCAGGAGTTCATGGAAGGATTCAAAATAAAAATTTTGACAATTGGTGGCTCTTTTGTTTTTAAGTATTGCAAAACCTCCTTTAAACCGGCTTACATCATAATAGGGAGTTAATAATAACATATAAACAGGCATTTCAGTAAAACTTGACAGTGGGGTTCAGAGTATGGCCCTGGGACCCAGTTCTCTGTTGGCACTTTTCATGTATTCTCTCCTTTGGTAGTACCAAGTAGCCACTTCACCTTCACATCCTCAGAACTTCAAGTCCAGCAAAAGAGCATCCACCTGCATTGAGCATTGCCAGCAAAAGTCGCTTTCATTGTCTTTGTTTCTCATTGGCTCTGATTGCATTGTGTGCCCATCTGTGTAGCAGTTATTCATCAGATTGCTCCAGACATTGAGGCCCTTCCTGCCTCTGAAACACATTATCTCAGAGTGAGGACAGGGTCAGTCCCTTGATAAAACTTGTGTTCTGTTGCTTGAAATTGGGAAATGGATGCTGGGGAGTCAGACAACATACATTCTGATTGTATTCAAAGGCTTTGGCTGTTCAGTGATTTACAAAGATGAGGCTTCAGATTTGTATAGTACTTTAAAAATGTCTGTTTTTGAAAAATTTGATTTTATATGGAGGGAGGGAAGTAGTGGGAGGGATAGTGGAGGGGAGAGAGAGAGAGAGAGAGAGAGAGAGAGAGAGAGAGAGAGAGAGAGAGAGAGAGAGAGAGAGAGACACAGAGAGAGACAGAGAGAGAGAGTGTGTGTGTGTGAGAGATATATTCAGTAGCCACTGGGGAGGGAACCCACAATGTAGGCATGTGCCCTGATCAAGAATTGAACCCGAGGCCTTCTGGTGCGTGGGACAGCATTCCAACCAACTTAGCCACACTGGCCAGGGCTACAGTGCTTTTTTTTATTATTATTATTTAAATAAACCCCTTTCAAAATAAGCTTAATTACTCTCAGATAGTATTCTGCCTATAATTTATAAAGCTGTAAGGACATACAGAAGTAACATGATCTCTTTGAGCTGGCAAGGTTGTGGTAGATCTAGAACTAAGCCATAATTTCCTGCTGACTCTTTCGTAATGCTGTAGATGTATCTTACACTGTCCTGGGCATTAGTATAACGTTCTGGCCTTGATTTTATAACTGATCAGTGACCTTGGGAACGTCTTAGACTGCAAGTGAGAGAGCTGGACAAACTTTATGATTCTATTGTAACTCTGTAACCTATTCTTTGGGAATTGTCATGTGGAACAAATTTTAAATAATTATCTTCCTCTTTTAATTGACCTGTTCAAGGTCATGGTGGTCCTATGCTTTGGTGGTCTAGGAACTAGTTGTAAGTAATGATTAGTTGGAAAAAAATTGCAGAAAACAGGTACTCACTTAGGATCTCAGAACAATGGGTATTTGGTTTCAAAAGCTTTCTGGGAATTATATGTTTGAGACATGAAAATTGACTTTAATGTGAGCCATGTGTGACCAAGGACTTGCTCAAGAAGAGGAGATGTCAGAGGTGGCCAACATAATGTTTAACTTCTTGAATGATACTGAGTTATACTCCTTGAGATTTTTGTATTAGTTTACAACAGTGCTAACAGTAGAGAAAAAGTTTTTTCCATACTAAATTCACATAAAAGTTTGGGTTTTACCTTTTTTTTGGTGTGTATGTTAAACTTATGTTGTAATAGTATCATTCTGAGTCTTTTAAAACAAAATATAAATGCACATTATTATTGAATACAAGTTTTATTACCTCATTTTTATGTTTTGAAATTCTTTTGACATTATTTAAAAACAAACTTCATGCTAGTTTCAGTGTAACCCAATTTGTTCATTTGGAGTATTATATATACAGTTGCATATGAGATTGAATGCTTGTCTTTCTTTTAGGAGACTGACCTTTATTTATTTATTTTTTTTATAATAAGTGGAAACATTATTGGAAATGTGAATTTTAGCTTTGAGGTATTTGAAACACTAAATGTGTGTGTATTCTTTCTTTCTTTCTTTCTTTTTTTTTTTTAAAGATGGACCACGACCTAATTCAAAAGAAATACTTTCTCTAAGAGCATTCTTATTGATGTTCATTAAGCAGTTAGTGATGAGGGTGAGTTCACTTTCTTATCCTATAGCATTATAGCTTGTCTGTATTTTAACATAATTTAGATAAAATACACTCTTGGTTTATTTGCTTTGTTATTAGGGTTACACATTGGAAAATATTTTGAAAAAATATTTGTTTCTATGTTTGTTTTTTGTTCATCTTTCTTGGGGATATAGGGATATACATTATTGCAGAATCTGAAATAGATAATTGTAATATATGGTATATGAATTTTTGTAGGAGTTCAAGTGTATTCATTCATTTAGCAAATATTTACTGTTTCTAGTCTCTCTCTGGTACTGCTTACTGCAGCAATCAACAAAGCTACACAAGGAGGTTTTATTTTTAGGGAGTTCCTTATAACTGACATTCAGATTTTCAGAAATAACTTTCCCATATAAATATGCCAGGGAGGTGTGTCAGCCTTTAGAAATGGTTATATTTTCACCAATTTTATTTTATAGTGATATTTAGTAGTATTTTTAAGGAAGGTGTTTTGGTTTTATAAGACAGCAATATATAAATGTATTTGTTGCTAATTTTTTATTCAATATTTTCCTATCTCATTTTATTTCTTGTTCTTTACAATTTAATGCTTTATTAGCTGTCACATAATATCGTGGTAAAATGATTTAACTTTTAGTATATATTGCAGAATCAGATACATTATTTATTAAAAAATTTATCCCTTAAATTGACTTTTTTTTTCTTTCCTAGTGAGTTTTTGCTTGTTACCTAATTTTCTTATTTAGATTGAGGTTAGTTTTATGATTTATAATTGATAGACTAGGTTAAAATTTTTCATACTGTATTCATTTAAAAGTCCAATGTTTTTACCAGTGAAATTACTATTCCATTTTTAGTGCCTAAAATTTTAACTTGGTAATTTTAGAAACTGTTTCTTTCACTCTCCAAATTTAATAGAAAAAAAAATAGCAAAGTTATCTTCTGTATTTAGAGGACTGATGGGTATGGATAATACACTTTTATTTATCATTAATAAGTATTTCTAGCTTACTTGAGGATTTTCATATAGGTTATCATATTATATAAGGTGTGGAAAGCAAATACTGATGTCAGACCTCTTCTGACCTACAGTCTTGAATATTGCACGTCTTTAGTGCATCTGTCAGTTTATATTTTAAATTTAGATTCTATATTACATTATCTTTTTATATCTATAGCAGCTATGTTGACAAATTATGTAAAATTTCCATAAAAATTTTTATATGCAAATTTAAGATACTAATAATTATGTTTCTAAAGGATTCTGGAGTAAAGGAAGATGAACTACAGGCCATCCTTAATTACTTACTCACTATGCATGAGGTAACATTTGAATTTTATATTTTGGGATTTTTATTTTTTGAAGCTGTACTACAGGCTTTTTTTTAAGTAAAAAAGTTAAATCTTTAATTAGTGATATACTTATAATCGGGAATAAATGTATCTTGGAACTAAATGTTAGCAACCTTCATACAAACAGCCTTTATTACCTCAAGAGAGCTCAGAAATATTATGAAAGACTTTAAAAGTGTTAAAGTTAGAGCCCAACCAGTGTGGCTCAGTGGTTGAACATTGATCCGTGCCCCAGGAGGTCACCAGATCGATTCACATGCCCAGGTTGTGGGCTCAATTCTCAGAAGGGGAATGCAGAAGGCAGTTTATCAATGTTGATGTGAAATGACTAAAAGTGATTGGATTTTTAAATTCATAGCACAGTCTTCCTATTGATTTTGCATGTTCAAATACTGTTAAGTTAAACAACTCATTTGTAATGGTGTTTAAAATTATGTGATTGTAAAGGAGGTTGATATATCTTTTTTTCCATTACTATTTAAAAAAAATATGTATTTTATTGATTTTTTACAGAGAGATAGAGGGAGGGATAGAGAGTTAGAAGCATCGATGAGAGAGTCATCGATCAGCTGCCTCTTGCACACCCTTATTGGGGATGTGTCCGCAACCAATGTACATGCCCTTGACCGGAATCGAACCCGGGACCCTTCAGTCCGCAGGCCGACGCTCTACCCACTGAGTCAAACTGGTTTCGGCTTCCATTACTATTTTTGGGTCATCCTCACCCGAGGACATTTTTTCCATTGATTTTTTATTTTATTTTTTAAGATGGAAGGAAGTGGGGGAGGGAAGTGGATAAGAGGGGGGGGAGGAGAGAGAGAGAGAGAGAGAGAGAGAGAGAGAGAGAGAGAGAGAGAGAGAGAGAGAGAAGGAGAGAGAGAGAAACCTGTGTGAGAGAGATACATTGATTGGTTACCTTCTGCACTTGCCCTTATTGGGGCCAAACATTGAACCTGCAACCCAGATACTGGCCCTTCACTAGGAATCAAACCTGTGACCCTTTGGTGAATGAGCTGATGCTCTAACCATTGAGCTCTCAGGGATCGGTTGCAGAGCAGAGGGAGGCTCTTCTACAGGGCAGGGCCTCACCATTGATCCCCGCCCACACGGAGGCCCTGTCCACTGGGCCTGGGCTTTGTGATCAGTGGCAGAGTAGAGGGAGGCCTTTTCTCACAGGGCTGGGTCTCTTCCATTAATCCCCGCCCAGAGGGAGGTTCTGCCCACCCTTCTGGGGCTCTGAGATCAGTGGCAGAGAAGAGGGAGGCCCTTCCTCCAGGCAGGGACTCACCATTGACCCCCGCCCACACGGAGGCCCTGCTCACCCTGCCAGGGCTCTGTGACCAGTGCTGCGCAGACGGAGGCCCTGCCTACCCGGCTGGGCTCTGTGATGGCCCACCCAGCCTTGGCGCCTTGCCTTGGCCCTGGCAGCCACGGCTTTGTCCGGAAGGACATCTGGAAGGTCGTTCTGAAGATGTTCAGTCTGATTAGCATATTGCCCTTTTATTAGTATAGATTAAGAAATTATTTGAGTATTTGTTTTTTTTTTTACTTTTAGTTATATAGATGAATATGTATTTACATGTAAAGAACCAGTTTTTTAAAAACAAGTATATATTGGATGTATGTCTACCTATTGTTTTTTAAATTGAAATTTCTATTGTTTTAGAAGTATTCATTGTTCAAATAAGTTTTTTCTTTATTAAAATTTTTTTTCTAAAATTATTTCAGGATGACAATCTAATGGATGTCCTACAGCTGCTTGTTGCTTTAATGTCAGAACATCCTAACTCTATGATACCTGCTTTTGATCAAAGGAATGGGTTACGGTAAGAGTTTTAATATATCAAGATTTTTAATATTTATTATCAGAGATTAGTTGGGAGAGGATAGTCTTAGATATGAAAAGTATTACTGGATTTTATATTTTAAAATGAGTTAAGATATAGGAACTTTTTATTTTCTGTATTGCTTTTTGAAGAAATCTTTAATTGTATATGCTTTGTTACTATTTAAATTAAAAAAATATTTTTATTGATTTCAGAGAGGAAGAGAAAGGGACAGAGAGATAGAAACATCAACAATGAGAAAGAATAATTGATAAGCTGCTTCCTGCACCCCCATATTGGGGATCTAGCCCACAACCTGGGCATGTGCCCTGACTGGGAATTGAACTGTAGGTTGATGCTCAACTACTGAGCCACACCAGCCAGGCCTAATTTTTGAGGAGAGATTAAGCAAATCACTCTATTATTTTGTATAATTAGTGTTGTTATATAGCTACTAGAGGCCTGGTGTATGAAATTTGTGCACTTGGAGGGGCGGGGTTCCCTCAGGCTAGCCTGTGCCCTTTCACAGTGCAGGAACCCTTGGGGGTGTCCGACTGCTAAGCTGTCAGTTGAACATCCTTAGCGCTGCTATGGAGGCAGGAGAGGATCCTGTCATCACCGCTGTGCTTGTCAGCCGTGAGCCCGGCTTCTGGCTGAACAGTGCTCCCTCTCTGGGAGCACACTGACCACCAGGAGGCAGCTCCTCCATTGAGCATCTGCCCCCTGGTGGTCAGTCCATGTCATAGCGACCAGTTGTTCTGCCACCAGCTGAAACCAGCTCTCCAACATCCCCCGAGGGGTCCTGGATTGTGAGAGGGTGCAGGCCAGGCTGAGGGACCCCACCAGTGCATGATATGGGTCAGGGAGGTGTGTGGGAGGTTGGCCAGTCAAGAAGGGACTTTGGAAGGGCTCCAGGATGTGTCCATCCCGTCTCTCTCAGTCCCGATTGGCTGGACCCCAGCAGCAAGCTAACCTACCAGTCAGACTGTCTGCCCCCTGGTGATCAGTGCACCTCATAGCAACTGGTCTATTGTCTTCCCCCTGGTGGTCAGTGCATGCCATAGTGAGCAGTTTAATGGCCTTAGCATATCATTAGCAACACTTTGATTGATTGACTGGATGGCTGAATGACCGGACACTTTAACATATTAGGTTTTTATTATATAGGATTGTAAGATCAAATTCTTTAGTAGCATTATCTTCAGGTTTTAGGACAGTAGTTTTCAACTGTGGTCTAACAGAAGATCTTTGTCATCCTATATAATAGAGGTAATATGCAAGTTGATTATCACTCTAACACACGTAAGCTGGCTGCACCCATTTGGTCAAAGATGGCTGCCTCCATGTGGAAACAAGATGGCCAGGAGGGGAGGGCAGTTGTGGGTGATCAGGCCTGTAGGGGAGGGCAGTTGGAGGGACCAGGCCAGTAGGGGAAAGCATTTAGGGGTGACCAGGCAGGCAGGGGAGGGTACTTTGGCATGACTGGGCTTGCAGGGGAGGACAGTTAGGGGCAATCAGGCTTTCAGGGGAGCAGTTAGGCATTGATCACGTTGGCAGGGAAGTGGTTAGGGGGTGATTAGGCTGGCAGGCTGAAGTGGTTAGGGGCAATCAGGAAGGCAGGCAGGCAGGCAAGCTGTTGGGAGCCAGCAGTCCTGGATTGTGAGAGGGAGGTCTGACTGTTTAGGCCCGATCCAAAATAAGCAGTTGGACTTCCCTCAAGGGGTCCCAGATTGGAGAGTGTGCAGACTGAGCTGAGTGACATCCCCCTACCCCCCGCCATGCACAAATTTTGTGCACTGGGCCTCTAGTCTACTTATAGTAACACTATCTTCACCCTCAATCCTCATTTTTCTTAGTCTACTTGGGCTGCCATAACAAAATATTATAGACCAGGTGACTTAAACAACAGAAATTTTTTTTCTCACAGTTCTAGAGTCCGGAAGTCCAAGGTAAAGGAGGTAGTAGGGTTGATATCTAGTGAGGGCTCTGCCTTTGGGTTGCAGATTGTCACCTTCTCACTTATATGTTCATGTAACCTTTTCTTTTTGTGTCCGTGTATGGAATCAGGGACCCACTCATGGGATTTCATTTAGTCTTAATTGACCCATCTCCAAATACAACACTGGGTCTTAAGGACTTTAACATCAATAAGGGGTGGGCACACACTCAGTGCATAACAGTCATCAGCAAAACAATACTTTTGTTTCATGAGAAGGTTTTGGGCCACAGAAGTTTAACAACTATTTTGCTGGATGATCAGTTGCAGTAACTAATTTAATGATCTAGTTTTAATAAGTTTCACCCATCAATTGTCTATTACAAATCCTTTATTTGGGTACCTTTTCCTGATGACATATGATTTGTCATTTTCATATGCTTATTTGTCATCTGTATATCTTTTTTGGTGAAGTATCTATTAAGTTATTTGGCCTATTTTTAAATCAGCTCGTTTGTTTTCTTACTGTTGAGTTTTAAGAGTTCTTTGTATATTTAGAATAAGTCCTTTATCAGATGTGTCTTTTGCAAATATTTTTTTCTTGGTCTTATAATTTTCTTGATGTTGTTTCTGGCAGTAGTTTTTAATTTTAATTAAGTCCACTTTATTTCTTGTTGGATCATTCTTTGGTGTTGTATCTAAAAAAGTATCACAATTCCCAAGATCATATCAGTTTTCTCCTGTGTTGTCTTCTAGGAATTTTATAAATTTTGCATTTTACATTTAGGTCCATTTTGAGTTAATTTTATGAAGGGTACAGTCTGTGTCTGGTTTCATTTATTTGCACATGGCTATCCAGTTTTTTCATCATTTGTTGAAGAGTATCTTTGTTTTTTGTTGCATTGCCTTTGCTGCTCTCTTGTCAAAATTGGCTGACTATATTTATGTGGGTTTCTTTCTTGGCTTTCTATTTTGTTGCTTGATCTATTTGTATATTTTTGTGTGTGTGTGGGCAGGGTCAATGCGAGACTGTCCTGATTACTGTAGTTTTATAGTAAGTCTTGAAGTCAGGTAGCATTGGTCTTCTAATTTTCTTCTAGGCTTTCTATTCTGTTCCTAGATCTATTTCTGCATTTTTTTGGGGGAGAGGGGCAATACTACATAGTTGTGATTGCTGAATTTTATAGTAAGTCTTGAAGTCAGGTAGCATTGGTCTTATAATTTTCTTCTATTTTAAGTCTGTTGGTTACTCTGGGCTTTTGCTGCCCATATAAAATTCAGAATCGTTTGTCTATATCCATGAAATAACTTACTATGATTTTGATTGGAACTACATTGAATCCATAGATCAATTTGGAAGAACTGAGCTCTTGAGAATATTGAGTGTTCTTATCCATGATTTTCTTTATAGTCTATGATCAGTAATTTTTCTTATCTGTTCATGTGATGGATTACATTAATTAATTTTCAAATGTTGAACTAGCTTTGCATATCTGGGCAAAATCTCACTTGGTCGTGATATAAATTCTTTTAATACTTTTTTTGAGACTTAAAAAAAAAAAATCTTGGTTGTCATTTTCCTGGAATGTCTTTTTCTGGTATGGGTGCCTCGGAGACAGGGTTAGGAAGTTTTCTGTGAAGATTATTGTAGAGAATTGGTTCAGTAGAATTCACCAATGAATCCATCTGGCTTCGTTCTTTCCATTTTGGACTATTATAATTATTATTTTTAATGTCTTTAGTAGAATATAAGCCTATTCAGATCATCAAATTTTTTTCCTTCTGTGGGTTTTGGCAGATTGTGTCTTTCAGGGAATTGATCTCTTTCATCTAGGTTATAGAATCTGTGGGCATAGAGTTGTTCATAATATTTTTATTACCCTTTATATGCCCATTAGATCTGTAGTGTTATCTCCTCTTTCATTTCTGGTATTAGTAAATTGGGTCCTCTCTTTATTTTCCTTAGGTGAGCTAAAAGCTTATTGATTTTCTTTAAAGAACCAGCTTTTGGTTTTGTTGATTATCTCTATTGTTTTATACTATTTTCAATTTTGTAGATTTGTATTTCACTGCTAATTATTTACTTCTACTTACTTTGGATTCAATTTTAATAACTTTTTCTCGTTTCCAAGGGTGAATTACTGATTTTCGTTCATTTTTCTTTTTTAGTATATACTTGCATAGCAGTTATATCCAATTGAGTGATGGTATTGTTGAATTCATCTATGTCCTTACTGATTTTCTGCCTGCTGTCCATTTCTGATAAAGGGATATTGAAGTCTCTAACTATGATAGTGAATTCATCTATATTTCTCTTCATATACATTTACACTTTATTGTTAGGCACACACATGCTAAGGACTATTGTTTCTTCTTTAGAGGATTGCCATGTTTATCATTATGTAATCCCTGATAACTTTCCTTACTATGAAGTCTGCTCTGTCTGAAAACAATATAGTTACTTTTGCTTTCTTTTGACTAGTGTTAGCATGATATATTTTTCCTCCATTCACTTACTTTTAATGTATGTGTGCCTTTATATTTAAAGTGTGTTTTAAAAAAAATCCTCACCCAAGGATATTTTTTCCAATGATTTCTAGAGAGCAGAAGGGAGGGAGGAGGGGTAAAAGGAGAAAGAGAGAGAGAGAAAGAAAGGCAGAGTAAGAAAGAATCAGAAACACAGATGTGTGAGAGAGACATCAATTGGTTGCTTTTTGCACACACCTCTACCAGGACTGGGGAACCTGCTCCTGAGGTACATGACCTTGACCGGGAATTGAATCCTCGACCCCTTAGTTCGCAGGTGGACACTTTAACCTCTAAGCCAAACTGGTTAGGGCTAAAGTCATTTTTTAAAAAGACAATCTACATATATAAAAGCCTAAGCTACCATTACGACTGAATGACCAGAATGACCAGTTGATCGGTCACTGTGACATGCACTGACCACCAAGGTGCAGATGCGCAATGCAGGAGCTGCTCCCTGGTGGTCAGTTGCATTCCCACAGTGGAAGCGCCACTCAGTCAGAAGTTGGGCTCATGGCTAGCCAGCACAGCTGTGACAGCAGGAGCCTCTCCTACCTCCGTGGCAGTTCTACCGGGTGGTAGCAGTGGCGGTGGCAGCAGAGGCGGTGGCAGCAGAGCTGTGCCTGTCCCAACTGGGGCTCCTCCCTGACTGCCTGCGGCTTTGGCACTGTTACATCCTTTGGGGGGATGTCGGACTGCAGTGTGATCATCCTCTGAATGATCCTGGATTGCGAGAGGGTGCAGGCCAGGCTGAGGGACCCCACCCATGCACAAATCTGTGCACCAGGCCTCTAGTAAAGTGATAGTGTTTTAAAATGTTACAAATGTATATGAAATTCACCTGTATCTTGAAGTTAGATTTATAATACTGAGTATGAAAAAATTTACACATATATACGTATATATTTTAAATCTCTTGAATATTATCCTCAGAGTAATTTTTTTCTTAATTTTGATTCATTCAGCGTAATCTATAAACTTTTGGCATCAACAAGTGAAGGAATCAGAGTGCAAGCTCTCAAGGCAATAGGCTATTTTTTAAAACATCTGGCCCCAAAGTGAGTATGTATGAAATCTAAAATGAACTGTAGAATATTACTGATTTACTTTATAAAAAGTCTCTCTTGTTTAATTTTAATGACTAACTACTATTTAAATTTAATCTTGTTTCTACACATTAAAAATAAAGGAAGAGTAGCAGTATATTGCCTGTCTTCTATGACATTTATTTGAATTTATTTATTTTTTTCATTATGGGAACACATGTATAAATTGAATTCTAGATATATTGGAGATTCATTTCAGTTGACTTGATCATTTGCTTTATCTGTACTACAAAACTGCCATATTAACCTGGTGTTTCTCACATAATGTATTTTGCTTATGTATAATTAAAAATGAATACTTTCTTATTTTTAGTAGAATGTGGGCATTTTTGTCTTGTAGTTCCTTGTTTCAGGATTGGTTTATTATGAAAATTAACAATTTGGTGGTAGAAAAGTTGTTAAACTGTGGCTTTTATGTTGAATCCCTGGCTGCCTTTAAATAGTTTTAGTTTAACATAGTCACAATTTATTTGCTTATTATCTATAGCAATTTTCATGTTACAACAGCAGTGTTGAATTGTTGCTATAGAAATTATATTAGTATGGTTCACAAAGTCTAAAATATTTGTTATTCAGTCATTTGCAGAAAAAATTGGACAAACTCAGATATAAAATTAAAATTTATAATTCTTCAGTTTATGAAGAATTTCTTGAAAGTTTAGTTTTGGTGTATTTATTTTCATGCTATTAATTTTCTTAATTTCTTACATTTCTTTTGCCTTGTTCTCCACAGGGTTTTTCAACTTAACCTACTTACTGGGCTTTAGATTATCATCCATAGTAGAGTTTAGCTCAATACTGAGAGAGAATAGCAACTATAATAGTTAATAAATAATTTCCCTGAAGATTCTGGTGTAGATTTTGGCTATGTTGTGCCAGAGTTAGTCTTGCAATTTTTAAAACTTTAGCTGTGTTTATACTGTAGTTTGTATTTTTCTCTTTAAAGATTTTATGGCCTTACAGGTTCGAGGGTGAAGAAAATTGGGAGAGTTGGAATTGTTGGTAATGTGACACATTTTTGTGTCTCCTTCAACATACATACTAAATAGTGGGCAGTAAGACTGTACAGTTGATTATTTCTTTCTGTGTCATCACAGAAGAAAAGCTGAAGTCATGCTTGGACATGGATTGTTTTCATTACTAGCTGAAAGACTCATGCTTCATACAAATTTAATCACAATGACCACGTATAATGTCCTATTTGAGGTAGGAATGTAGTTCGAATTTAATTTTACTAATTTCTTACAATAAAAATGCTTGTATAATGACTTGGTAGTGTATAAGTGAAATAAGATCATTTAGGTTTGATGTACAAATTTGAAATTAGTTATATAAATGAGATGTGGCTGCATCTTAATAAATATGCTATTGTGTGAATAAGCATGTGATCTTTTAAAAAAAAATTTCTTCCATTGTGTTGAGTGTTTGGTGTCTCATTTTATGATTAAGTAAAAATAGAGTTATAATGTTGAAATCATTTAATATAATGCAGAAGGTATTTATCTTGACAACATTAGACTGCTTAATTAACATTGTTAAGTGTTGTACTTAAAGTTCATTAATGGCGATGGTAATACAGTGATTATGGTAATACAGTCTGTTGTTTTATTTCTGTAGATTCTTATAGAACAGATTTGTACGCAAGTGATACGTAAACAGCATCCAGATCCTGATTCTTCAGTAAAGATACAAAATCCTCGTATGTATTTAATACACTTTTTTAAAAATTTGTTTTTGATTTTGTAAGTTTAAGCTGTTCAACCTAATGATGGTTGGTGGCATATCTATCTAATGTGAAATGTTTACAACAATAAGGTTAGTTAATATATCCAGCATTTCATAGTTATAATTTTGTGTGCGTATGTGTGGTACAAACATTTAAGATCTCTTTGCAACTTTCATATATTCTGTACAGTGTTGTTAACTGTTGTCATTGTGCTTTATATAACATCTTCAGAGCATGGGCACCATATATCTGGATGTTTGTACTCTCTGAGTGAACATCTTCATCCATTTTTCCCAGTTCCCTTTTTTTATACTTTTAAACTATGAAAAACCTAAGGTTAATATTGTTGAAAACACATTAAAGAGTATTTCATTACAGGCAGTGATATAATATTAATTTTATTTGTGTTTGATATTGAATTTACCTTCAAATTGACCTTAGGTTATGTGGCAATGTTTATATAGAGATTTTGAAGAATTATATGCATAAGATCTTGATTTAATGTATGTTCAGATTTTTAGTCAAGTTTTGATTGCACAATTTAGTAATGTCTAGCTAAATTACATGAACCATGGAGGTAGCTTTCATCTTAAATTATTGTCAATTTAAGAATACCAAGTTTGAAATAGAAAACTGCCTACTTTATTGTTTATGAGCTTAGACTTTTTAAGTTTTTTTCTTTTGATATTTAGAATTTTTAAGTACTTGTATATTTTCACCTTGGTTTTTAAGATTATTGACATTAAAATAACTGGCTTGTGTAGTTTTGAAATATAATTACTTTTTTGTGTTAAATTGTGTTTGTGGTATTCTACAATATTTTACTTCCAGTTTTAAAAATACATGTCTCTGAAGTTTAATTTTTCTTAGTATTCAGGGAGAAAATCTTGAAAATATAATATAATGTAATATAAAATATATTTTAAGTGTTTTTGGGAAAGATGACTTGCTTAAATAAGAATTTTAGAGTATTATTATCTACAGAATATACTGTCTTAGAAAAAATATACTTGGTGTTTAAAAACAGGCTGCTTGCCTTTTAGTCTTGTTTACATGTCATGATACAATAGTTTTGTGACTTTGGGTAAATTACTTTAATTTCTGTGTGCCTTAGTTTTCTTATCTCTAAAATGGGTATAATAATAGTATATAGCTATCATTGTATAAGTATTAAATGCGTTTTTCTTCAACTTACTGTGTTTACTTATGGTTTCTTTTTTTCAAAGTTTAAGTGTAAGAAATTTAGATACCAATATCACCCCAATAAATTGCATAAGAATTAAAAATAGTTATCTTAAAAAAACAAACTTAGACCATTTTATTTAAGACCATTATATAGTAGTTTTATTTGTATTTGTTCAGAGTATTGAGTAGCTTTTAATTTTTTGGGATGACTTTTTTGGTAATAATTTTACTTTTAAAACTATGGATGAAAAATCTTGTTATCTTTTAAAATTCATGATGATAAAGAAAAGGGTAAGTGTATTCCATAAATTTTGTTGAAGAAATTGAGAATTTTCTGTTCCTGAGATTTTAGATTATAGGGTTGTTTTATTTTTTTAAGACAAACTATTAATTGGCAGAGATTTGGGAGTTGTTAGTAGTTTTACCATTATTTAATTTGTTCATAATTTAACTTGATTAATTATAACCTATTAAAATTCAACTTACAAACATTGCAATTATGATATTTAAAAACATTCTTACTTATGGATGCTTGTTAATGGACATAATATCTTTCTTTTCAACAGATTATAATTTTTTTATAACATAAAAGAGAATGTTTTTAATAAACATTTATATCAGGGAAGTGAAACAAATTCCAATATATGGATGATCTTCCAATAAGAAAATTTTATAGTGTTCTGGTTTTTTACTGATTTATGAATTGTCTTACAGAGATACTAAAAATAATTGCAACCCTCCTTCGAAATTCTCCTCAGTGCTCAGAGAGCATGGAAGTTCGCAGAGCTTTTCTTTCTGACATGATTAAACTTTTTAATAACAGCAGAGAAAATAGAAGGTAAGCATACGAGAAAGTATTTATTTGCAGTCTTCAAGTTCAGCTTGGAATAAGCTCATTTGTTCTAAGAAAAATTGCTTTGAAAAACACTGTGAAATGAATTTTCCATATGCTTTTGTCATTAAGGACATATAAGTAATATATATAGTTAAATTGAGCTTTTAGTACCACATTCTTTAATTGTTTTGAATATGTAGATAAAGGTGGGTGTTTTATTTATTTTATTCTGAACTTTTTTAGAATTATTTCAGATGATTTATTTTAAATAATTCAGTATCCTCTTTTAATTTTTAGGAGCTTGCTACAGTGTTCTGTGTGGCAAGAGTGGATGCTTTCTCTCTGCTACTTTAATCCTAAGAATTCTGATGAGCAAAAGATAACAGAAATGGTATATGCCATATTCAGAATCCTACTTTACCATGCAGTCAAATATGAGTGGGGTGGCTGGCGTGTGTGGGTAGACACCTTATCAATTACACATTCAAAGGTAAGTTTCTTTATGAAAGATTATTTTAGCATTTTAAATGTCTGTAATTTTAAGTTTTACTCCTTTAAAATCAAGGGGAAAAAGGCAGATTATCCCCTGAAAGTGAAATGAACAATAAAAACAAGGAATAGCTAAAAATAAAGTATTCACAATTTCTTCAGAAATAAAAGTTTTTTCCTTAAATGTCATTTTTATGTAAGTTTAACTAAATAAAGTGAAACCTCATCAAACAACATATTTTCCAGTAAATGTATTCTGATGTGGTACTTTGAATTTTATAGTGGCTTGAAGCTTTTGAACACAAGGTGGCGTAGTATATTCAAAGATGAGAGGTTATTGCTCTGTGTAAAGTGGTTGAGTAAACAAAAGCTCTGGCTAATGTTTGCTTTATAGCAATGTTTCAGCCAGTTGAAAATTGGTTTGGAAGAATTTTTTTTTTTTTTTTAACCTTAAGCCACTGTAAGTTAGTTATATAGAGCATTTGTTTATACTTTTTGATGAAATATTCTAGATGCAAAAAGGTCTAAGGAATACTGTACCTATTACTATTTATGAAATTGGGTTTCCCATCCCATTTGCTTTGTATACCATTGTTAGATTCCCATCTCCCCCATTAACCTGAATTTGGTGTTTTTATTATTTCTGTCTTATTTTTAACAAGATATATATAATTTTAAACAATAAAGAGTTCATTTTTCTCATGTTTATGTTTCACATAGCGATATCATATAAATGCGTTTTTCTTCAATTTACTGTGTTTACTTATGGTTTGAGATTCATTCATATTGACTTGTGTAGTAGTGTCAGTTTTCTCACTTGTATTGTATTCCATGATACAAGTTATCCTTTTTTTTAAAAAAATATATTTTATTGATTTTTCACAGAGAGGAAGAGAGAGGGATAGAGAGTTAGAAACATCGATGAGAGAGAATCATTGATCAGCTGCCTCTTGCACACCCCCTACTGGGGATGTGCCTGCAACCAAGGTACATGCCCTCAACCAGAATCGAACCCGGGACCCTTCAGTCCGCAGGCCGACGCTCTATCCACTGAGCCAAACTGGTCCCGGCACAAGTTATCCTTTTAACAGTTGAGCATTTTTTACATATTTTGTATAAAATATTTGGAAGTTTATATATTCCTAGATGTGGAATTGCTGACTTTTATGAAGTAGATGTTGAACATCCTATCTAATAAAAGAGTAATATGCAAATTGACTGTCACTCCAAAACACATAATGGCTACCCCCATGTGGTCAAAGATGGCTGCCCACATGGAGACACAAGATGGCCACCACAAAATGGCCAGCAGGGGAAGGCAGTTGTGGGGAGTAAGGGGTAACCAGGCCAGCAGAGGAGGGCAGTTGGGGGAAACTAGGCCTGCAGGGGAGGGCAATTGAGGGGGGCCAGGCTTGCAGGGGAGGGCTATTGATGGGGGGGGGGGAGATCAGATCTGCAGAGGAGGGCAGTTGTGGGCAATCAGGCAAGTAGGAACAGCAGTTAGGGGTGACTGGGCCGGCAGAGGAGGGCAGTTGGGGGATACCAGGTCAATAGGGAAGGGCAGTTGCGGGAAGCAGGCCTACAGGAGAGAGCAGTTGGGGGGAATCAGGCCTGCAGTAGAAGACAGTTAAGGGGGGACCAGGCCCGCAGTGGAGGACAGTTTGCGGGAACCCAGGCCTGCACGGGAGCACAGTTGGGGGGAAACAGTCTTGCAGGAGAGGGCAGTTAGGGGTGACCAGGCCAGTAGGGGAGGGCAGTTGGGGGCGACCAGGGCTTCAGGGGAGGATAGTTAAGGGCCACCAGACTGGCAGGGGAGGGCAGTTAGGTGTGACCAGGCAGGCAGGAGAGGGCAGTTAGAGGCAATCAGGCCTGTGAGCAGTTAGGTGTGTCAATCAGGAAGGCAGGGGAGTGGTTAGGGCGTGATCATGCTGGCTGGCAGAAGGGGTTAGGGGCTACGAGGCAGGCAGGCAGGCGAGTGGTTGGGAGACAGTAGTCCTGGATTGTGAGAGGGATGTCTGACTGCCTGTTTAGTTCCCATCCCACTGGGTGGTCAGACATCCCTTAAGGGGTTCCAGATTGGAGAGGGGGCAAGCTGGGCTGAGAGATACCTCCCTCCCCCGTGCACAAATTTTGCTGTAAGATAATTGAAATCCTTTCCCAGTGGTGTATTAGTTTACATTCTCAACAGCAATAAGTTCTCATTGCGTCATATTTTTTCATCACTTGGTATGGCTGGAGTTTTAAAAACTTGCAAAGTGGGTGAATTTTAAATGCTATACTAACATAATATTAATTTGCATTTTCTTTTTATTTTGTTGGAGTTTTTTATATACTCTTGGTCATAACCATTTACTAGCTATATTGTTCATGAATGTTTATGGCAAGTTGTGGCTTATCCATTTCTGGAGTATTATGTCATTTGTCTTGAGGAAATTTTATATTTCATATATTGTAAAATTTATTTATTTTATGGTTTATACTTTTGTATTTTATTTAATTTTATACTGTACAAAATATATTGTAAATTAAGTGGAAGGAAGAGAAATGATAAATTTGGTACATCTTTAAGTGTTTTATTTTATTAACTACTAGAGGCCTATTGCATGAGATTTGTGCACTTGGGGGGGGGGGAGGGGGCGCGGTTCCCTCAGCCTGGCCTGTGAACTCTCACAGTCCCAGAGTCCTCAGGGGATGTCTGACTGAGGGCTTAGGCCTGATTCCTACTCCTGCCTGCTGCTCCTGCCTGCAGCTCCCACTCATCTCAGCTCTGTTATACCTTTTTCGTGCCTACACTGTCAGTCCTGATCGGGAGAAGCTTGTTACGCCACAGTGGGAAGCAGGCCTAAGCTGTCAGTTGGACATCCTTAGTGCTGTGGAGAGGCTCTCAGCACTGCCGCTGTGCTCGCCAGCTGTGAGCCCAGCTCAGGGCTTCTGGCTGAGCGGCACTCCCCTGTGGGAGTACACTGACCACCAGAGGCCTGTTCCTGCATTGAACGGCTGCCCCTGTTGGTCAGTGTGCATCATTGCAACCAGTCATTCCGCCATTTGGTCGATTAACCTTTTATTATGTAGGATTATAGTTATTACTCTGGAATAATTTGACATTGAATTGGAATACATTGCCAGTTCTTATACACACACACACACACACACACACACACACACACACCACACACACACATACACATACATACACACACATATTTAGGTTTTAGTTATTTGAACATACCTAAGTTTTGTTCATTCTGTCTTTTCTTTTTCAGTGAGACGATAGTGCATTGCTATCATGAGGTGTTGCAATGTATCTTAGTTTGGAAAACATTACCCTACAAATTTATGTTTGAGAACAATTTAGTGCTAAAAAAAAAAAAAAATGTGATTTTGTAAATCACATGTAATGGCTTTGTTTTAGTCACTGTATTTTGAACTGACAAATTTAGTCAAAGGCAGGATTCAGCCAAACATAGCTTGAGAGCCAAATTTGGCCTAATCTGGTCCTGAAAATAAAGTTTTATTGAAACACAGCCACTCCCATTTATATATATACTAGAGCCCCGGTGCACAGATTTGTGCACCAACGGGTTCCTCAGCCTGTCCTGCATCCTCTTGCAATCTGTGACCCCTTGGGGTATGTCAGACTGCTGTATTTGGCCTGATCCCCACTGGCCAGCAGGAATGGGGCCAAAACTGGCAGTCCAACACCGCCTGCTGCTCCTGCCTGCCTGCCTGTCGCTCCTTCCTACAGCTCCTGCTCATCCTGGCTTTGCTGCACCTGCTGCGGGCTCCCACTGTCAGTCCTGATCAGTTCCTCAGAGGCACTCGCCAGCCTGAGTCCTGCATCTGGTTCCCCTTGGTCAGCTGAGTGCTGCTCCTATTGTGGGAGCGCACTGACCACTAGGGAGCAGCTCTTGCATTGAGTGTCTGCCCCCTGGTAGTCAGTGCACATCATAGTGACTGGTTGCTTGGTTGTTTGGTTGTGTAGGCTTTTACATATATAGATATTCTATGGCTGCCATTCATGCCACAAAGATTAACAGACACTAGGGTCCCCAAGCCTGAAATGTTGACTATTTGGCACTTTACAGAAATTGCCACCTCTTGTCTAACTGACTTTCTTTAGTGTGTGCAGATGCCCTGTTATTCTGTTTTTTGCTGCTCCAGTCTGAATTTTCTGCTAGAACTGTTTCCCTTTATAAAAATGGGTTGAATTTGAGCATCATATATACATTTAGATTGGATTTCAGATATATCCGGAATTCTGGGAAAGTGCCAGTATAAATTCATTTTTTCAGATTTTCTAAATAGTATATGTTAATTCAGTACTTTTATATACACTCTAGTTTATTCAAGTCCTTAGGAAGGATAGTTAGGGGAATATAACCTTCAGAGCAGTAATCCTTAGCATACTGCCTGAAGACCATGGGAGCCCAGGAGACCTGTTCAGGGAGTATGAGAGGCGCTCCTTTCATAACTACATATCTATTCAAGGGTGGATTTTCTAATACTTACATCAAAGTAATATACATTAGATTGAATACAAAAGTAGATATTAGAATACAATAGTTTCGTATTAAGTCATAATTTAAAAAATAGGCAAAAAATGTGAAATACTTTCTATTTTAAAAATTGTCATTTTAGAATGTTTTTATTAACAGTGTGTTTTGTTAAAGTATTTTTAAATTTATTAATTTATAATATTTTAATTTCGATGTGATAAGTAGTAATACATATACACCGTATAAATAAAAGGTTTTTGTGAGACCTCAGTGCTGTTTAAGTGTGTAAAGGATCCTAAGAGCAAAGAGCTTCAGAATGTTTAAGTCACAGGGTATTTAGGGCTAATAGCCTAGATTCTGAATTTCTTGTCTACAAAAGGTTAGACTAGGAGATTTCTCATTTGCTTTTGAATTTTTGAGCAGTTATGACTAAACATTTATACCCAGTTTCCAGTTCATTTTTGTAAATAATGATGATAACATGGGTTTTGGAGATAGCATACTT